CCACATAAAGTGTTCAGTAAATGCAGTAAATGTTAGCTATTATTTCTTGATACTATTTCCTGTTACCTAGCAGATCCTCATATTTGTGGGATGAATGAGTAAATATTATTCTCATGAGAGCCCTATGGAGTCTATTATCTCCATTTTTTAGATAAGAAACTGAAGCTCCGAGAAGTTCAATAGCCTGCCTAAGGTCAGCCGGTTAGTGAGTCATGATTCCAACTCACATGAGTTCCAACTTTAGTTCACTTTCCAAAATACCAAAGCTGACTCCCAAACCAGGGGTTGGGAACATTTGCTTGAGTTATCAACGTGGCAGCTTTCCTTTCTAACACCATAGCCTTGACCCATTCTGAAAAGTAACTCACATGTACATCACAGCTGATTAAGGCACTTCCTGCTGGGTGGGGCTGAGCTGTGGTTCCTGCCATCTTTCCATAGGCTATCATGCCTCAGAGATTGTCCAAGGACATCTTGGGGGAAAAAAAAAAGCCCCCAGATACCAGATTGATGATTAAAAATTCAAGTTTCACTTCCGAAGAATAGAAAACATGATTAATTCATTTGACTTCTGGGGTTATCTGTTCTTTAATCCAGAGATCACTCATGAACTCCCATCCCGTCAAAGTCAGCAGGACATCGTTTGTCTTTACGGGGGTGCCTGTTCCTCCAGCCAGCCTCACCCTCTGACTAGACCTCATCATGGGCCTTAGGAAACTCAGTGCGGGCCCAAGGCCCCCATGAAAGTCCCCTGGAGCCTTGGATCTATGAAGGATGCTTGCAGGGGTCTCCTGTAAAGAGGACCCCCTGCATACCACTTTCAGCCCTGAAATTGGCAGGTAGGCTTTCTGATACTTCACAAAAAGCATTTGCTAAAATGCATCTTTCTGACAGCTCACCTAGAGACAGACAGTGTTTGAGGATAAAAATTATGATATAATCGAATCTGACTTCTTTGAAGTTGCTATAACAAGCTTAGAACTTACTAAAATAGCTGCAGTGGGTTTGAAATGAACTAAATTCCACCTGAAGGTTGGAGGGGAGATAAATCATTGAGCCACAGCACTTTGAAGCTAGAGGGGAGCTGAGGTAACCTTGTCCAACCCCTTCATTTTCCAGGTAAAACTACTCATCCCCAGGGAATTAAAATGGCTTTCTCAAGGTCACATGGCCAGTTAGACAGAGCTTCGCCTTCTCAATGAAGAAGGCTACTTGCCAACGTGACTGCAGTCTAAGGTCCTTTGCACCCAAAGCCTAGGTACTGACTCCATATGTGGGCAACAATTTTCTGGGCTGTAAATAAAGTCTCCATTGCCCTTTACTGAATGAATCTGGTCCCTTTATAATTGGGCAAAATGGTAGTAAAGCACTGTGCAAAGAACAACCCGAGGGTCCCTGTCTTTTAAAAATGAAATATTCCTCTCAAGTGCTTTATTCTTAGAAACTGCCAGAAAGTAAAAACATAAAAACTCACCAAAACAAAAACCTTGAAGCAATATATATACAATTTGCTGTTTTTAACTACCATCAACTCGGCCCTTGATTCATGGCAACCCATGCACAATGGAACAAAATGCTGCCTGGACCCGCACCATCCCCAGGATCAGTTGGGGATCAGACTGTTGTGATCCATAGGATTTTCACTGGCTGATTTTCAGAAATAGATTGCCAAGCCTTTCTTTTAAGTCCTAAGTAGTCTGGAATCTGTTCAGAATCATTGCAACACGCAAACCTTCCTTAACAGGTGGCTAAGCATGAGGTGCACTGACCCATAATAGAACCCAGGTCTCCCACATGGAAGGCAAGAATCTACCACTGAATCACCACGGCCCTCAAATTTCTTTTGTAAAAGATAGGGACCCTTGAGTTGTTCTTGCACTCTTGAAAATAGACCGCTGGAAGTATCAAGCATTTCTAGCATCTCTTATTCCCCTGGCCCCTAAAAGGCCTCCCAAAAAAATTACAGCCAGAATTAGAGTAAGGGAAACTGTCATGGATTGAATTATGTCCCCCCAAAAATGTGTGTATCAATTTGGCTGGATCATGATTCCCAGTATTATATGACTGTGTAACAGTTTGTAATCTGATGTGATTTCCTTATGTGTTGTAAACTCTATCACTATGATGTAATAAGATGAATTAGTGGCAGTTATCCTGATGAGGTCTACAAGATCAGATAGTGTCTTAAGCCAATCTCTTTTGAGATATATAAGAGAGAAGTGAGGAGAGACACACGGGAACCTCACACCACCAAGAAAGCAGTGCCAGGAACAGAGCGCGTCCTTTGGACCTGAGGTTCCAGTGCTGAGATGCTCCCAGACCAAGGGAAGACTGATGCATCACAAGGACCTTTCTCCAGAGCCAACAGAGAGAGGAAGCCTTCTCCCGGAGCTGATGCCCTGAATTTGGACTTGTAGCCTACTGGACTGTGAGAGAAGAAACTTCTCTTTGTTAAAGCCATCCACTTGTGGTATTTCTGTTACAGCAGCACTAGATGACTAAGACACTAACAAATAAGAACATTACTAAAGAAAAGCCCCTTGTAGTTGGGGATGGGACCATAGGAAAGAATGAAGAATAAATTCATATGTCAACAAAGGTGCTCAGAAATTCTGTGGAAGGCCCAACGTCTCCCTGCCCCTGGCTTGCTGGAACAAGAAATGTTGATGAGACATGTATGATCTAGGTAAGGTGTGACCTGAATATGCACTGTACCTTCCTCAGTTCTGGTTTTCATATCTTTCATGTCTAAGGGCATTGATTGCCTTCCCCATCACCCTCAAATGACAATAAAATGAGGTCAAACATCTTATCATTTCCACCACAGCCTCATTACAGACAAGGCATGTGTATCCTTTCAAAAGCCCAAATAAAATTCTATCCACCCTAACATCCTCCATTAAAAAAACAATAAAGAGCAGACTTTTTGGTTTCGAACAGTAGTTCTCAAATCTGACTGAACATTATGATCACCTGAGGAGCTTTTAAAAATAAAAGAATGCGTCTTCCCTTTCCTCTCTTCTTAATAAATGATAATAACCATGACTACTAAGAAGGGCTTGCTTTGTGCCGGGCATTGTGCTACACTCTTTACATACATTTTCACATATGTCTGTAACAACCAACCTCCTGATTTTACAGCAGCAAGCAGCCGAGGCTCAGAGAGTTTAACAGCAGGAGGATGGCCTAGCCTCTATGCTGAAAGCAACTGGTTAGAAATTCATCTTCTTGGCAAACGAATATTATTATTAAGGGAATACTAGTTATCAGAAGAACAGGAATATGTGTCTTTCCTCTCTGGTCACCATCAGCATTCACTGACCAACGATATTGTCAGCTAAGCGGACTCAATGACATCTAATAGTTTCTAGAGACCTATTTGCTTCCTACCACTTTTTCCAGAATACCATGGACACAAACAAATCCTGTATAGACATTTGTTGATTTTCAAACAAACTGCTCTGGATTCACTTCCAGGAAGAAGTGGCACAAAATACGCCCACTGGTATGGCTGAAAGCACTCAATGGCCCAAGCTCTCTGTATATATAGCAAAACATAATCCATTCATGATCGGGGCTTAAGAAGCACACAGAAGTCTGATAAAATACACATTTATTAGAAAATTTTCAGCAGCATCATTTTCAGTTGTTTTTCTAATCAAAGTACATTTCAAAGTAATTACAAAAGCACTCAAAATATGAGCAACAAATATTTTGAGAACTCAGAAATAATCAGTAGTACATGTTCCATTCATTCACCCATGCATCCATTCATTCGTTGTTTAACAAATGTGCAATATTAGCACAGAGAACCAGAAATGCTACTTACTATGTAAATTGTATATTCCTGCCATGTTTCCCAGATTTTCTATAAAACAATCCTTTTGTAGAGACTATACCATTATTCAAAAGAAGAGCTAGACTGTACAGTACATCCTGATACAAATGTATGAATTTAGCCAGAAGACTTAAAAAAGGCTCAATAATAGTTTCCCTTTCTATTCATGTTCAACTTAGGAAATAAATAGTAATTATAATGATATTTTCACACACAGAAACAAAAACCTAGTTTAGACTTTGCTTAACCGGTATTTGTTTTGCACCTTACTTTATGAAGACACAGATTTGGGTTTAGTAATTCAGCGACTGAGCTCCAGTTACCAGGGTAGGTGAGTACCTGAGATGCCAGGCTATGGTCCATCAAGTGAAGGCGTTCATTCAATTAAATACAAACTCACTGCATGACACATGCACTTAATAACTTGGAATTTTCTCACAGACATTGCAAATAGAAATGTTGACTTGGAAGCTAGTGATATAACACATATGTAATGGTTCGTTCTGGTTAGATAACGCAAACATGCAGAAGAGCTAAATTGAATTGCATTTTCTACCTTCTGCATTCTCTGAGATGTCTACAGTCAATGTCGATCCAACATACAGTGCCCTCATCCAATACAGCTATTGACTGGGTTGACATGTAATACTGAAGATTAATTAAGTGCCGATGTGTAAAAGCAGATCCAAGAGTGAGACCTGGATTCATTTTCTGGATAATTCTATAAGAACTATGAGTGGCACCTCTTCTTTAGAAATGACTAAAGGCCCCAAGTCAATTGTTTCTCTCATTGATTCATTTACTATAATGATCACCAACCAATTCAGCAGATACTTTTATTAGCAAATTCAATGACATTATAATCTTTTCAAGATTTACAAATGTACAATATATTTATAGCATTACCTTCAGACAGCTTCAGTGCAAAGATATACATATAGTACATCGTGATAAGTATTTGTAAAAATATGAGACAGCATAAGTAAAAAAAAAAGAACACAAGGCATAGTTTCCAGACACTTCCAACTGTAAGGCGAAGAGGAAAATATATATATATATGTATTTTTTTAATAAAGTACTGAATGTTAACTTTTTTCATCTGTTTGTAAAAAATATATGTGCAAAAGTGTGTTTCTAATTTTTCCCTAAATAGTTGGCATAGCTATACCTCAGAGTCCTCTCTAACAAGGTTAGCAGTGTCTTTAAAAGTGTCCTCTGTTGCAGTATAGACTGGAGTTGGGTCTCTTCTTGGAGGGACTTCAGCAGGGAGAGTAGGTGATGGAGGTGGGGCCTCAGTAGCACTGTCCTTTTGCTCTGTCTCCATCTAAGACCACAACAAAACACAAATCAGCCAGTTCTCTCCCCAACAAGACTGTGTGAAGGAAACCAATCTTCACCGGTTTGTACAGAATAATCAGAGTGTATTTCCAATTTAGCCAATGAGTTATTTCTAAGAAAGAATGCTGGTGCTAAGAAAAATTTTAAGAAATTACCTCCGCATAGATTGGATTTTCGAAGTTGGTGGTTTGTTTCAGTTTTCTTTTGAAGAAATTCCATTTTGTTGCCTAAGTGGAAAGGAGGAAAAAATAATAATAATGGAATTTTGGGTTGGGTTTCTTTTCCCTCTGTCTAGGTTTTTAAAGTTCTTCTCACTGAAGGACAAATCAATTTGGGACCATGTATTTGGCCAGTGTTGGGAAATTATCCAGTACTTTCTCTGATCCCTGAACAGTAACTGAAACTCTCTAGGTTCTTTGCATCTAATTTCAAAGTACTTTTTTTATTTGAAATTTATAGTTTACAGTCTGTGCCCATAGTATCTAGAGGTTTTGACAAGTAGATCACCCTACCTACTTCTCTTACACAGGTAAGAGATTTCTCCAGGGGCTTCCTAAAAATTGAAGGAAAAAGGCAAATTATAATTTTTGTTTCCTAAACCTACGTCTTGATCCTGGGTCAACTCAAGAGTATCCCTGATCCCCTCATCATTTTTTCCAGTAATCATAATCATAGCATTAACAAAAGCTAACATTTACTGAGTGCTTACCATGTGTCCTGGTGGCACAGTGGTTGAGAGCTACGGCTGCAAACCAAAAGTTCAGCAGTTTGAATCCACCAGTCACTCCTTGGAAACCTTATGGGACAGTTCTACCCTATCCTATAGGATCGCTATGAGTCGACGGCAACGGGTACGATGTGTCAGGGACTACTCTAAGAGTTTTACAAGCTTCTAATCTTCCCAACAACTCTTGAAGTAAGTATTTGTATTATCCCTATTTTGCATATTAGGAAACTGAGTCACAGCCAGATTAAATAAGTAAGCTATAGGTAGAAGAGCCTGCAGTGATCACCCAGGAGACTCAGAAACCCACAAACAGAGGAATCCAAACTGGACAGTTGCTTGTGGTCGCAATGCTGGCCACAGTTCTACTCAGAACTGGACCCAAATCTGGCTGCAACTTAGAAACCTGGCAGGGGACAAAGGAACAGGCAGCTGAGGTAACCTATATGTTTTACGGGGTGTCTCTTGCTTTGTGAAATTAGGGGACCAACATGTGAAGGAGTGGGGAGCACATGACCATGGGAAAAGATCGGAAGGGCTAGAAGTAGAAAAGGCCATTCACTTTAACCCACATTTAATGAGTATCCACTCTGTACATGGTGTCACCAGGGGGAAAATGACATTTGGGTCAGAGCCCTTGTCCCTGGAAGGTCAAAACACTCAAAAGTCATTGCTTCAGTAGGAACTGGCTACCTAGAGTTAAGCAGTTACCAACAAGAGAGATAGTATGGTGACTTGCATTTTTCTAACTTTTGGAAAATGATAGAACAGAGTTATGGGAGTTCACATTCTTTGAGTTTTTAAGCATATTAACAGATGAAGGATAAATTCTTGAGACTCCCTGGCACAAGAACGTTAACCTAGAGTGATCTTCCCCAAGCACCCCTGCTGCCTTTAAGCCACACTGGCTGTTATCTCAGTGCCCAGAAGGCAATGGATAGAGAAGATCCCTGGAAGACAAACCTTGCAGTGTCTCAGTTGATTAAGAAAGTAAAGTGCTGCAGAGATGGAGACGAGAAAGAAAGGGACTGCACTTGGCACAGATCCACTCTCGTTTGAGAGTGTTCTTCGTTTTATTTCTGATGACTAATTTACAGATTAGAGGTTACAGTATGCCACAATATTCCCCTTCCTGCTCAGGCTGAGGGATACCTCTCCGTCTAGTGAAGAAGAACACTAGACTTAAAATGTATTGAGAAAATATGTTGAAAATATGAAATAAATCTGGCACTGCCTTGAGGCTGAGTCAGACTTAGGAAACCAAATATATGACATTTAAACATTTTGGTGCCTGTGGAAAGTTAGTCTGCACAATCAGTTCTGGGAAACACTTTTTTAAAATGTGTCTTAAAGAAAAAGTTCAGTCCCTTGAGAAATATGAAGCTGAAAATTCTTTTCTAAGACATTTGTGGGTGTGGGAGTATGTGTGTCTGACAGAAGGAGTAAGAAATACTGAAGAATAGGAAAGAGTGGGCAAAGAGACCTTTGATACAAGCTCTTCTCGTTAGCACCTAGTGAGTTCACTTTTATTTTGATCCAAACAAGCAGAACAGAACCAATGTCTGAGGTGCTTAGAAATTGTAAATCCAGTATGACTTCTAAGTTAACTTTGTGAACACCAGTAGATTGTACAGTTTGAGAGATAAGGATTGTATAAAAGGATATAATTTCCAACTACCCTTAGACCTTTGCTTCTTTACATGACTGCAGAGAAGGAATCACAGAATCTTAGAGCTGACGTAGACATTTCAGAACCTGGGAGTGTGTGTATGTTGGGCGGGGTCACAATGAATTGGGGAGGACACTATTAATATTTAGTGGACAGGGGCCAGGAATACAAAAATATCCTGCAATGCATAGGGTAGTTTTATAGCACAAAGAACCATCCACCAAATATGCCGATAGTACCCCCAGTGGGAAACACTTTTAAGGACTCCAGTGCCCAGAGGTGGAATGATTTGCCCAGAATAAAACAGCTAGATCTGGGATAGCTAAACACGTATCCATTCAAACTGGTGATATTTTATCCTCTGATACAGAGTTTTAAATCAAATTAGTTTACTGGATTTGTCTCTGAAGATAGATTCCCACTCTATCTGCCGGTTTTTTTTTGTTTTTTTTTTTTTTTTTTTTTTGTCTGTTTGTTTTTGTTTTTAAATCTCCAGAACTAAACTCAGTGTCTGGCATTGATTGAACGACTGAATGAATGACTGGATGATGGACAGATGGAGATGGATGGACGGTAAAGATATACCAGTGCCATCTAGTGGTAATATAAGTAACAGGAGTAGACCAATGAACAAAACACATAACCAATAAGAGAACAAATGTGTACACTGTAGAAAAACTACATAAGGGAGGGTCTTTTATATGTATCCTTGACACAGTGGACTGTCTAGTCATACTGAGTCATTTTCTCAAACTAAATGTTCCTGGTTTGTAGAGGCTAGATCCCGAAGTCTACAGCCCTTTTCTGCATGGTCTCCAATGTCACAACGAACATTATTCCCAACATAATGTTTAAATGTAGCTTTACTTGGTATAAAGTTTTTCAATTCAATATTCTTAAAAACAATTTTTATTAATCATCTATACACCTTAGGATCTGTGAGCCTGTCAGAATTTCTCCCTAGTTTGCCTAGGATTAATACGAAGTTCTTTGCAAAGTTCTTCCCAAATCTCACATCATTTCAGTAATCAGCCACTGTTACCTGAGTTCCATTAGCACTTGAGGAAGTCTCCTTTGTCTCTGGAGCTATCTGAGATGGGCTTATGGAACTTTCATAACTCTTGTTAACCCCACTTCCAGATTCAGTCACCTGTGAACATATTGGAAATCTCTATTCAGTTTTGGAAGAATTCAGTACTAACGATGTTTGGAAATCTCTATTCAGTTTTGAAAGAATTCAGTATTAATGATGTAAAGTTGCTTATCAACTCATTGGTTCTTGTTTACCAGGTTGTTCTCCCACAGACATGACCATGTGCCATTTTTATTGTATAAGACAGACCTGGCACCCCAGGACTGAACACTGCTTCTACCTCCCCAAAATCAGGAATGACAATCACTAAGTCATCTCATGCCTTAATCCTGGGAGGCAATTAAACACTGTCACTTGTTAATAGCAATTTCTATTGTGTTCTCTATCTCCACTTACTCCCACTGTTAATTGTATTTTTGGATAAAAAAATAACACTGGTTCTATGTTGGCAGCCAAATCATAGAAGGGTGGCATGAATAATTCCCCAAATTCACTGGTGAATTGAGAATCCTATCCTTGGATATTTGGAATAAACTAATAACTTCAGGGGACTGCTTAAAATAAGTTGAATTTTTGAAACAACAGGTAAAATGAAATTAATATTCCTCTAGACATTTTCTGCAATATTCATGTGATTCCAAGGTCCCCCTTTTAGACCAAATTACCATGAATCAATAAACTATCAGGTAGAAAGTCACTACTGTTCCTTTAATTTTACATTCACTACTTCATTACTTCTCAAATTTGGATATATGTTTATATACTTGGCCACATTTTATTTCAGGTGAGTATAGTTTTGCTATCTGGGTATCAAGGGATATCAAACGATCAGGCAAAATGCTTTCATGATTCAGATATTTCTGACCTTAGGAAAGCTGTTCGTAAAATAAACATTTCTATCTAGTATAAAAATGTACAATATCCTGTGATATCCTGTGAAGTTTAGGTGTTAATAATGAAAGGGTAGGTCACTAAGGTCACTTGTTTCAACAAAGGAAGTATTATAGGTTGGCAGCTGACAGGCATTGGAAGTGGTGTTGAGCCAACTGATCCAGACCTAATGAAAAGTTCTTTCCCTCCATCCATACGCCTATCTCATCTCCCAGCTCCTCTTACTGATGACTGAGTAACAGGGCTGCCCCAAAGGAAATTCAGGTATCCACCTATCAGTTGTGGAGACATCTGCACTCTTTAAAAAAGTAAGGGAAAGCAAACATAAGGAGGGCAACCACCAGGCTCTCCCTTTGACTCACCTCAAACCACACTCTTGTGATACCAGTAATAACCTAGACAGTGTATCCAGTCCCAAAAATCTCTGCGTAATGGCCAACAATCATTAATTCACTCATTTCACAAATATATCGAGAGCCTGAGATGTGTTAAGCCCTGTGTTTGCCAAGTCTTCTGATGGACTTATACCTTTTGCTCAAACACCACTCAGAACTCTCAACAACTGTGTAACAAAACAGGATTCTGGTTGTTTTCACATGTTATGTCTTGGGTCAGTCTTGTCCCTGCAGATGGTGAAGCTGAGAGATGGACTTCTGTGCTTCCTTCCATTTGGAGGGAAGTTTAGGAGAATTCTAGGAGGTCATTGTTCAATAAAATGAAATCCAGCAACAGCACTAACTAAAAGAAAGGACTGTGTGGTTTCTTACTTGGGTTGGCTGAACCATGTTGACAGCATTGTCTCTGGATGAGTATATTGGGTTTTCAAATATTATAGGTTGCTTGCCTATCTCCATGTCAAAGTGTTCACTCTGATGAGAAAAAAAAGAGAAAGAGAGATATCACACGCTATGCTGGTCTGGTTCACACAGAGGAAGGTGCCTTCCTCACACTTGGAGGAATGCTAGATGCTATGCCAAATTTACCCCAACATATGATGTCCTAGAAAATGCCCCCCCCCCGGAAAAAAAAGTCAGTAGAGACACAAGTCCTCCATATAGTAAATGATTATTTAGAGCAACATAAATTTGCTAATACACTCAAGAAAACTGAAACATTCTTCCTACATCAGAATTCGCTCTGATTCCTTAATACAAATAGGGTGTGGACAGCTTGAACAACAGAGAAAAGGGTGGTTGGTAGAAGAAGAGCAAGAAGAAGGAGAAGGGGAGAGAAGAATGGGTAACATATTTCCCAACGAGAAAAAAAAATAAAGATTTTGGAGAAAGACAGAATACTGAAAACGATTTCCCAATACTGATTATAGAGAGTCCCTCTGTGCCAGGACTGTGCTCATCTCCTCATAAGCTGTCTCATTTGGTCCTCACATAAGGTATTACTGTAGCCATTTTACAGATGGGGGCAGTGAGAGAGAGATCAAGCTCCATGCCTAATATTACATACTTAGAAGGTGGCAGAGTATGTATATCAATGCCCATGGAAACAGCAGTCAAGAAATCCAACAATGTGTTATTACATTGGGCAAATCTGCTGTAAAAACCTCTTTAAAGCGTAAAAAAGCACAGAAGTCACTTTGAGGACTAAAGTGCGCCTGACCCAAGCCATGGTGTTTTCAATTGCCTCATATGCATGCAAAAGCTGGACAATGAAGAAGAAAGATCAAAGAATTGATGCCTTTGAATTATGGAGAAGAATATGGAATATACCATGGACTGCCAGAAGAACGAACAAGTCCATCTTGAAAGAAGTACAGCCAGAGTGCTCCTTGGAAACAAGGATAGCCAGACTTCATCTCACATACTTCGGACATGTTATCAGGAGGGATAAGTCCCTGGAGAAGGACACCATGCTTGATAGAGTAGAGGGTCAGTGAAAAACAGGAAGGCCCTCAATGAGATGGACTGACACTGTGTCTGCAACAATGGGCTCAAACATAGCAATGACTGTGAGGATGGCACAGGACTGTTGTACATAGGGTTGCTATGAGTCAAAACCGATTAGACGGCACCTAAAAACAAGAAGGTGGCAGAGCTGGGATTTGAACCAATCACTGACTGTAAAACAACTGTTTTTTCCTACCACTTGTACATTGGTGAAAAAATACATGATACTAGGAAAAATAAATTTCTCCATCCCTTCCTTTATAAATACAAAATGTCATCAAATAAAAGCAAAACATCATGCTCTCTCCCCCCAACAAAAAACAAAAAACAAACCTAAGACTGTTTAAGATTCCAATTCAACAGTGTGGCTTTGAGTGAGGGTAAATTTCAATTTTATTATTAATGTCATTAAATACATTTCTGCAACAAATCTATGTTTCCTACCTTTGACTATACAGTGAGGACATTATTCTGAGAGGTATACGATATTTCCTTATTCACTAGGTTAATTTCATTCTTAATAAAAAGTGTTTACATTTATTTTGTGACTTAATCTTCAAATAATCATTTTGAAAACACACTCACCATCGCCACTGATCTGTCAATAGCAGACTCAGGCCCAAAACTAGATACTCCAATATCCATGGTAACATCCGTCCCTGATCTGAAGGTCACCCCATTTCCATGTTCAGACGATTTGACGAGACTACTTAAGCTGAAATGAAGTAATCAAAACAAAACATTTTTTAACAACCTTTTCTTCATTTTTCTCCATAAATCTTGCTTAAATGAAATGCTCAATTCCCACTCTGAATTTACACATGTCAAATACGGTAAAACCCAATGCCGTTAAGCCAATTCCAACTCATGCTGACAGAGTAGAACTGAGCTCCATAGGGTTTTCTTGGCTGTAATCTTTACAGAAGCAGATCACCAAGCCTTTCTTCCCGGGTACCACAGGGTGGGTTTGAACTGCCAACCTTTTGGTTAGTAGCCGAGAGCAAACCGATTGCACCACCCAGGGATGTTCCAAAAAAACCAAACCCACGGCCTTTGAGTTGATTCCAACTCATAACGACCCTATAGGATAGACTAGAACTGACCCATAGAGTTTCCAAGCAGCACCTGATGGATTTGAACTGCCACCCTTTCGGTTAGAAGCCATAGCTCTTAACCACTATACCACCAGTTTCCTCAGGGATGTTAGCTAACTGGAAATGTTAAAGCACATTCCTGAATGCTTGAGATCTAACAGAGGGTGGGTTGAGCACTTACAGGAGTGAAGCCTGGTCCATCAGCAAGCCTCCTGTGTACTCCATCAACTGCAAGTCTAACCCGAATGCCCCCCAGTAGGCACAACCACTTGGCCTTGATACTTGCCACTCAGTCTTTGGAGAAACACTCAATCAAGAGGTTGTGATCTAAAGTTGCTGCTGTAAATCCTCACAACTTTTTGTTTCTACAGAATACATGAACTGTGTATTGTACCTTTTTTGTGGTAAATATATTGGTAATAAAACATTTGTTATTTCTATAATCTTCACATGTATTCTATTTTTTTAACTTCAAATTAACCAAATTATTAGCATGGTCACATCACACAGGCTTCTTATATTAATATTCCACATCATAAAACTGACCTTGGCAACTTGGGCAGAGAAGGTAAAAGGGAGCCGGTTCTCCTATAGTGGAAAAATCCTCCAATCGCCAAAGCTCCAATTATGATGACAAAGATGACTGTCAACAGTGCTGCCACTGCTGCTGCCAAAGAGGGAAGAAGTGAGCATTGCAACATGTGAAGGAGGAAAAGGGCCAACAGAATTAGGAGCAGAAGCTGGAGATGAGAACCATATGCTTTTCAAAGACCGGCTTAAACAGAATATATGACAGCATTCAATTTAGAGGCCATAGAGTATTTCCAGGTTGCTCTTATTCTTGAAACTTACTTGTTCCTGGAGGAATGCCTTTTGAAAATCCTATTTCACAGTAGCTTCCAGTGTAGTCACTAGGACACCTGAAAGTAAAAGGAGGGTCATTCACCAGCCATCCTGTCTTAGGCTTCGATTGCAATTTATAACCACATCCCAAGATCAAGAGAACTTTGGCTGAGTAAATCACATGTTGGACAATGTATCCTGTGTGACTTTTATTTATTCTGCTGAGAAGTGACAAGTAGAAATAAAAGTACTCCACTTTCAGTGGAGTAGCAATGCCTAGTCATAGTGGCACCCACAGGGTCAGTCTCAAACAAATCTGTTGGTTTCTTCCTTAGAAGGTAAAAATGGAAACCATGATGGTGTTCTTTCTATCCTTTGAAATGCTTTCATTCAATACCATTTAAAGACATCTATTTATCTTGCTTGTTTCTCAAGAATCCTCTTTCCAAATCTTTAGTCCAGTCTTTCTGCATGTTATGCATACGTGGTATACTAAGGCAGCCTGTTCACAGCCATTCTCCCACAATCCTACTATAATTAACAGTGCCAGGTGAGCAGGAAAAGAATTCTGTTTTCATTTCTCTAACTTCTTCCTACCCAAAGTGTGGTCCACGACTCTGTAGCATCACCTGGGAGCTTGTTAAGAATGCAGAATGCCTGGTGGATGAGAACTGGCATTTTAACAAGATCCCCAGCTGATTCTTGTGCACATTATGGTTTGAGAAGCACTTGCCTTAGTTCTCTGTGGGCTCTCCCAAAGGAAGGCAAGAGGGTTAAAATATGAAAATTAGTGAACCATACACCTCTGAACTCAGCATTTAGACTTACTTGCATTTGGGGAGGTTATTCTCATCAAAATAGCAAGTTCCTCCGAACATACACCTGCATGCGGGGGGCATGGTGATAAGAGATTCGATGGCTGCAGAAAGGGAAAGCCATGCACGTGTTAGCAGGCCATACTCAGCAGAGCACCCACCCCATGCAAACCTGCCTTATGCCCAGAGTCGGGGTAGGGTGGGTGAATAGGGGTGGCTGATTAGTCTCCCTGCCAAAACATTACCTTCCCCTTGGGTAAATGAATTTCCTTACCCATAATATGGTCTTGGAGAGTAACATATAGTTGGTGGAAAGAAAGAGGCAGTACGCAGCATTTTGCCTCCAAAACAGGGGAGAGGCGCTAGATTCTGGAGCAGACATTAATAGTTAAAAGAACCTTCTGGTTTAGAATCTCTTAGGATGTTTACATTCTCATTTCAAGTTTTCAGTACTCTCCCTCTGAACCCAGTTAAAATCAAGAGTTCAATTTAGGCACACCTCAGAACTTCAACCAAAGGCTCCAAAGCATCAGCTACTGATCAACAGACACTTAGGTACATCAATGCTGGATAGCTAGATAGGTAGAGATCTCCTGATTTTAGAAGTACTCCAAAACTGCCCTTGCTCTGGGCCCTCCTCCCCACTCAGCCCCCACATACTCCCTGGATGTGCCTGATGGGCCATTACCAAGAAGATGCTCAAGAAGTGTTGCTTCCATTTGTCTTTATTTAAGGAGTTTGGATAGTCTCTTGGCTCAGTCCCTCAATCTAAGTCTCTATTTAAATTTCACTTTATGAGAGAGGCCTTCCCTGAACACCCTGTCTCCCACCCCACCCCCCAGCACACCCCATCCCCCTTATCCTGCTTTATTTTTCTCCATATACTTTTATTTATTGGTTTCTCTATTTATTGCCCTCTATTTATGTCCTCTCGGAAGAAAGGTCTGGTGAAAACGCTATGGAGAACAGTTCTACTCTGACACACATGGGGTCACCATGAGTCGGAATCCACTCAATGGCAACTGGTTTAGTTTATTCATTGTCCTATTAGAATATAAGCTCAATCAGAGCAGCAGATTTCTCTAGTTTTGTTCACTTCTGTTATCTTCAGTACTTACAACAGTGTCTAGTACAAAGTACATAGTACATAGGGCCACTAGGGTCGATATGAGTCAGAATCAACAATGGATAGGAAACTGCAGGATGATTTTTTAATGTACTTATCAAGCACAGGATACTAGTTAGAGACATTAGTTATTACCTATGGTTGTGCAATAGGATTCTTATTAACTCCTTAATTTAAAATATACATTGAAAAAAGGTCTTGCCCAAGAATAGCATTTAGATGAGAATTAAACCACCACCTAAGGTCCCTGGGTGGTGAAAACAGTTTTCAAACCCACCCAGAGTCCTCTCAGAAGACAGGCCTGCCTGGTGACCTGCTTCTGAAAGGTCACAGCCTTGAAAACCCTATGGACCAGAGTTCTACTCTGTAACACATGGGGTTGCCATGAATCTGAACTTATTCAACAAACAACCAACAACAACTCCTTATTCTAGCCTCCATCTCCCAACTACATAAGGTACCTTTCAAAATGTGACTCTTTTCAGTGGTCAAAACTTCAGTTGTCAAAATGAGCACGTGAGAAAAACAGTGACCATCCTCTAGCCTTCCCCTCTGTGCTGTTTAACCCCCTCCCACCTCAAGAGCATGGTTCTCCACCTTGAGGCACTCCAATTAAGGCCAAATAGATTCCTAAGGCAAAAGGAATCCAGTATGAGGTGGAAGAAGAAGTCTTATAGAAAACCCACTCTTCAAAATATCTTTTCAAAACAACACAACAGTAGATTCAGGGACACTGGATCTGTACTTCTGGAGATCTTAACAATGAATTACCAGAAATCATTGGGATACAAGTTCTGTTTGGCCCCTGAAGTTTCCACTCAGCTCTGTTTATATTTCTCACATTTCTCATCCCTCCTCTGGCCATCCTTATTCTAGTCTGTAAAGGACCCAGCACACAGGGATTCCTGCAGAAGGTGACACACGGACAGGCGAGCTCTTTTGTGGTGCCTAAGCATTGCCTTACCTGCATCACACTGAGTGACACTCCCCTGCATAAAGCTGGAACCTTGGGGACAGGCACAGCTGTATCCTCCAGGTCTCAGTAGGCAGAGGTGACTGCAGACATCTTTACAGGGGTTGGGCACTGGAAAGCAAATGAGAACAGGGGTTAGGTTCTGAGGAAAGAATGAACACCCCAACCTAGGATATGCCCATCAACTGGGTTGTGACTCTGTCAGGTGATGGCAGGGCCCAGGCAGCATCCCAACACCTCTAGGTCATGTGCCACCTGGCTACTCACCCTCATTTTCACTGCTGTCCCTTGCCACCCCAACATAGTGACACAGGCCCTCTGTGCCATCCATTCCATTTGCACACCACACGCATTTTCTATTGGTTTCATCTGTCTCCTCTATGGCCTTGTCAGGTTTCTGAAAGTAGTCTCTGTATCTAGCTGGCTCATTGCATAACTTCAAAATCTAATCAATGCTAAATCAACTTGAGATGGCTCAATAGGAGCCCATTATTATATCAATACTTAACATTACCAAACTTGGATAAGTCATAATATATGATAAGATATAATCCAGAAGATGTGATTTCCACCCCCATTCTCCAAGGAGATCTTTCTTCTGGGCTTCAGTTTCCTTATTTGGAAGATAAGGGAATTTAGAGGTATGATTCCCAACCATGGCTAAATATCAGAATCACCTGGGGAGCTATTCAAATATATGGCCACCTACCTAGAGAAGTTCAGATTTAAATTGGTCTGGGATGGAGCTCAGGCATTACCATTAAAAGCACTTCAAGTGATCCTAGAATCTTCTGGATTCTAGGCATAGCTATAAAATAATAAGACATTTTCCAAAGGCCCCATTCAAAATCAGCCTCATTACCATTTTGTCAGCCTTCTAGAGTAGAGCTTCTCAAGCTTTAATATGCACACACATCACCTGGGGAATCTTGTTAAAATTGAGATTCTGATTTAAAAGGTCTGGGGTTGGGGCTGAGAATATGCATTTCTAATCAGCTCCCATGTGATGTGAATGCTGTTGGTCCACAGCCCATATTTGAGTAGCAAGGGTCTGAAGCAGTGGTTCTCAAAGCGTGGTCCATGAACCAGCAGCATCGGCATCACTTGTGAACTCTTGAGAATTCTTCAGCCCACCCTAGGCATATGTAACCAGAAGCTCTGCAGGAGGGGCCCAACAATCTGTTTAACAAGCCCTCCAGGTGATTCTGCTGAGTGCTAAAGTTTGAGAACTACTGGACCAGAGTAAATGCTAATCTAGCACAGCTGGTCTAGGCATCAGACCTACATCTCATCAGTGCTTTCCAAAGGGGGCCCAGAGCATGAACTGGCTGAGATGCTTTTCCTTCTGTGGCAGGCTCTCCTCTCCCTGAACTACCGGTACTAGGCTTCCTTCTCTGCAGAGACTAGATGAGGGGCTACCCAGATGTACTGTGCTCTCCCCTCCTGCCTATAAGACTGCAGGAACACTTAAAGCACAAGTGCTTTTATTACTGGCAGGGTCTGGAGTGTTTTGGAGAGGGGTTGGAGAGTGAGCAGTCGCTATCATCAACACAAGCCGAGCTACTCACTAGAAAAGGCATTTGCCACAAGCATATTCTGTCTGGGATCTCAGATTGGAGCTCAGTTTACCAAGGCTGACTCAGGGTCTCACTGAACTTATAAGAATCGTAGGCTCTCCCCATGTTTCACATGTAGGAATGGGAAGGGAGGTGACTTGTCAGAGGCCTCACAGCTATAGAATTAAACCTGGACCTAGGTATGCTGACCACTGGACCAGAACGGAAAGGCACTGAACTTTGGGTTGGGCAGAATCATTTAAGTAATTAAATGCATCCATTAGTTGTTACTAAGTTACTAAATCTTTCTTAGCCTCGGTTTATTTGTGAGATGAGGATAAAATCCTCTTTGTAAGGGTTTTGAGAAGATTAATTGAAGGAACAGATGTCTGAAGAGAGAATATGATGTACAGAGCCCAGGTCTATTTCCTTTACTCTTCTCAAAAATTTCCCTTCGCTTTCACCTTGCTCTGTACTACGCTGAAGGGTGATTAGAACACAGGTAAGCTGATGAAGCAGGGCCCAGAACTAAGAAAATGAGAAAGAGGGGAGGAGAATATGACTGATAATTTTAAGCTAAGGTTGACATATCTCAGGATAAATTGACTAGCCTGGCCTTTCAACTCCAAGAGTGGATAAGACTTCTGATGTCCATGTGACTCAGCAACCCAGCTTGTACTTATCAGAGTTCCAACACCTGCTGGGTCCTGTTGCCTACAAGTACATATCCATAACTCTAAACAATAATGAGGACTAAAATATTTTTACTTCATATCTGCTAGTGGTTTACATAATTTTATTTGCTATTCAATTTTATCTTCATTTGGTCAAAATAGTTAAAACACACACATTTTTTTGATGCACCAAGAGATCGACCTATTATTATCCACTACCATTTTCCAACAATGTAGTCATTAATTTGAAATAAGGTTTCCAGATGATAAATAAGGAGGATCTTACTCCATGGTACTTACCTGACTGATTGTGTCTGTGTTGATGAAAGATTCGAACTTGAGTGAGCCAAGGGCTCACTGTCAGCACTTTCACTCTATCTCCATTCCCAAATTTATCTTCCTTCCATACTTCTCCCCTTTCCTTCGATGTCCAGTATATCTGTCCTTCGAAGACATCCAGGCTATAAGGGCTCCTTGCTGCTTATCCCCGGGGGTGGGGGGGACAAAACAAAACAAGGTTATTGAAAAGAAAAGATCCCAGCACCACTTCTGCTATCCCTAATGCAATACCTAGAAATTCCCAGAATATTCTGGTGGACTGTCATTAGGGAACTCAGCTCCCTGTACATGTGACCATGAAAGCACACTGACTGGGAGATCAAGATTATGAAAATTAATCGTCATTAATCAATTGCCTGACACCAATTATAGGGGACTAGTTCACTTTCAGGAGCCCTGGTGACACAGTAGTTAAGCACTCGGCTGCTAACTGAAAGGTCGGCAGTTTGAACCCACCCAGCCACTCCATGGGAGAAAGATGTGGCAGTCTGCTTCCACTAAAGATTACAGCCTTGGAAACCCTATGGGTAAGTTCTATTCTGTCCTATAGCGTCCCTAGGAGTCAGAATTGACTCAACAGCAACAGAGTTAGTTCACTTTCAATTTGCTGATTTTATCTTAAGTTTAGAAAACAAATTTGTACGGCAGATCTTTTTCCTTTGAATTTAAGACACTACTGGTCAGGGAGAAAAAAAATGTGATATGTGCTGGATTGTTGCAATTCTGCAGGGCCTGAATAAGAAATCAAATGTCCCTCTCCTTCTAGATGTTTCCTGATGTACATAATGAGCAATCTAAAACTACCATGTCTGGAAGTAGTTATACATGGGTTAACATTTGCACACATATACCATACCTCTATCAGAGCAACCTAACAGGAAACTCAGTTATTCCTATATCAGCTGCTGAGTAGTATTTTTTTTTATTATTTTAAAAGGACAAAAAGGACTTAAATATCACTAATGGATTCATCTGCTTTAAATTACAAACTGGGAGCTGAGGGGTGTCTAAGAAACTACATATAAACTATCTCCTAAGATCAGTGTTCCTTTTTGAGAAAATGGGCAAAGAGACTAGAAACAGCAAATTCTAATCCATTTCTAACCTTCATTTGAAATGACTCTCCTGTCAGTTCCATCATATTTTATGGATTCAACAACGTTCTCCTTGGAATCACTCCAGTAGATTCGGTCATTGTTCAAATAATCAATGGTAAGGCCTGTTGGCCAACCAAGGTTCTCAGAAACCAAGATTTGCCGATGCTGCCCATCCATCCAGGAACACTCGATTTTAGACTCTCTTCCCCAGTCAGTCCAGTACATAAGCCTGTAACAGAAGGTTTCTTCATTGTAGCATTGAATCTAGTGGAGCTTCTCCACTAAAGCAGCCATGGGCTTCTAGAAGGGTAATAAGCTGTTTTTCTCAGTGACCTGGGTGCTAAGTGACACTGTTTTTATACTCTACAGAAGATGGAGAGATGAAAGGGAAAACAAATACATCTGTGGGCTATCTTTCCTGAAAACTGAATTTCCTTAATATCAACTGGCGAACTCTGAAGGATATATATTCAGGATCTATAAAAAGCATAATTACAAAATCTGTCCATTTCTCAAGAAATATTTATTGAGTGCCTACTGTGTGATAGGCAATGAGATATAAACTCATGGAGTTTATGTTCTAACTATTTTATAATTGGTATTTTGCATCCAGTTTATACTTGATAGTAAAAGAAAGTATCTAAGCATCATAGATTGAATTGGGTCCCACCAAAATTTGTGTCAACTTGGCTAGCCCATGATTCCCAGTATTGTGTGATTGTCTACCATTTTGTGATCTGATGTGATTTTTCTGTATGTTGTAAATCCTAATCTTTGCCTGTGGTTAATGAGGCAAGATTAGTTATGTTAAAGAGGATTAGGGTGGGATGAATTCCTTTACTCAGGTGACAGCTCTGATCCAATGTAAGGGGAGTTTCCCTGAGGTGTGGCCTACATCACCTTTTATCTTACAAGATATAAAAGGAGAGAGAAACTACCAGAGCGATGAGGACCTCACACCACCAAGAAAGTGCTAGGAGTAGAGCACACCCTTTGGACCTGGGGTCCCTGCGCTGAGAAGCTTCTAGACCAGGAGAAGATTGATGACAAAGACATTCCCCTGGAGCTGGCACCTTGAATTTGGACTTCTAGCCTACTGGACTGTGAGAGAATAAACTTCTGTTTGTTAAAGCCATCCACTAGTGGTATTTCTGTTATAGCAGCACTAGATAACTAAGATACTAAGCAAGCAAAGAGGATGGATGGCCTGACATTAAAGAATTACATGGAATTGCACCACCTCAAATATCTAGTGGGACCAGGCAGGTGAGATAAATGTGGAGAGCGGACCAGTTATGAACCACAGAGAGCTGGGGAGAACAAGGCCCTGTCTAAAAGGACAGCCCACTCAGGTCCAGTCAAAACTGCATCTGAGGATGCAGGCCTACCTAGTGTTAATGGTTCTTCTGATTTTTTGTGCCAGAAACTGAGATTTTTCTTTCTTTCTCTTAATTTTAAATGTTAGCAACTAAGTAAGCAAATTTAAAGCTCTGTATAGACTTGAAGCACTTACTAATGAAGATCAAAGACTATAAGCCAAACATGTTTATGGCCCATATTTATACTCTGGCTACCATTTTGCAGCCTCCAATCTAAACCAACTGTCAGGTTTAGACTATACCTTAAGTTCTATTGAGGAATATGTGGATTTTAAACAAATTGAGCTTTGGAAAAAACGTGGCCACAGACCTTCTCCCTATACAGAGTAGGCCCAAAGCCTGTCATAAAAGGCTCAACAACTGACAAATAGGACCTTGTTCAGTTCTAATTAAAAACAATGTACATTTGAAAGAAGTCAGTCACAAAGGACCACATACTGAATGATTCCATTTGTAGGCTATGTCCAAAATAGGCAAATCTATAGAGACAGAAATTAGATTAGTGGTTGCCAGGGCTGAGGTGTGGAGGAAGGATGGGATGACAGCTAAGTGGCACAGGATTTCTTTTTGCGGTAATAGAAATGTTCCAAAACTGATTGTGGTAATAGATAACACAACTCTGTGAATATAATAATAGCCACTGAATTGTATACTTTAAAGGGGTGAATTTTATGGCATATAAATTATATCTCAATTTTTAAAAAACTGGTACGCAAAATAAATTTTCTTCCTTCACGACCTTGTCCAAGCTTACGTCCATGTCCTCTGCTTATGAAGCCTGCCCTGTCTCCCTTTGTCTATCTATCTACATCCAAGACATCCTTCTAGGTCCTGCTGTAGTGCCACTCTCATCCACACTGATCTCTCTGGGATCACATACTTTATCACCTATTATATTTCCAATGGGTCCTAATCTTCGAGGTTCAGTTAAAATGCAGCTCCGTAGCTATGATCTTCTCAGATCCACTGCAAGTAGTAGACCTACCACAGCGTTCATAATAGTTTCCTGTGGCACTCATCCTTTTCCACCTTATATTATAGCCAGCAATTGCTGAATAAAGTAACAGGATATTATTTTATCTATATTTGTAAACGGGATAAAAAGTTATACCTAATTGATAGGGCTTTTGTAAGATTAAAATGAGTTAATATGTACGTAGAGCACTTAGCATAGTAGCTGGCACATGGTAAGAACATTATAAGTGGGACAATTTCAGTACAATTTAAAAAAATCATTAAAGACATGTAATTTTATGAGAATCCACTGGAAAATATCTAGAATATAAAGAATCCTTCGCATACTTACCCTAGTTTGGGATTCACAACAATTGCAGCTGGTTGATCTAGTAGGCTGAAAATGAGCCACTTTCTGTACCTTCCATCAAGCTTAGCCACCTCAATCCGTTTCGTCCTGGCATCTGACCAGTAAATATGCCTGAATTTAGAGGGACAAAGTTAAATAATGGAAAAGGCTAGACTGGTCACTTCTTGGGAAGAGATCTGAAGATAAGGCCATTTAGTTTGGAAATTTTAGCCAGCAAGACAGCTACTCAGATACCCATGATCAGACATAGCGCCCCTCTCTCAGGAATGTCCCGATCTCTTCAGCCAAGGGCCATCTTTGGAAGGTTACACATGGAAGAGTGAGGGATGGAGGGGACTCCAGCCTTATCAGCCAAAGCAGCTGAATCAACCAGGATCACTAATAATGGCAGACAGGCTGGCCTCACATCAGTGAGGCATGTGCTTCCAGGAAGAAGTCATAAGGTACCTATGGGCGGGCCTTTTAATTCTGACTGTTCCCATAAGTCTGTTTCCTCCTCAGCAAAGAGCGCTACCAATTAGGAATCTGGAATCAGCTCAAAGGATGATTGGAAATAGTCCTTCAAATAGACAAACTCAACAAGGTCATCCTACCCTCATTTACACTCCTTAAGGCTGCAGGTCTCATCCTCTTACAAACAGAAAAAGTTCCAGAAGTTTCTTTATTCAATAATTCATTCAGGCTGAGAAAGAGGTAAAACTTCAAACAAGAAGATAGACCTGCCATTGCTTGGCTAGCTTTCAGGAGGAAGTGTTGAAGCCGAGAGTTCCAACTTCCTGACTCTAGTGACAGTTTTCTGAGGGCTTGCTTTCTGACAGAAAACGCTGAAATGAGCCTCCTTTTGACTTGAAGGCACAGTGGGGATTTAATTAACTTCTTTAGAGATGCTCAAATCTTTCAGAAACACCAGACAAGTTTGTTAAAAGGTGAAAATTAATTTATACTGCAAATCACTCTCCAGGAGGGCAGTGAGTCCCTGAACTTCCCTTCTCAAACATTTTTCTATTATTCATTCATTTTCAAGAGCACAGGGGTGTCTATGAATGCTTGTCCACTGATTCTAATGTATCACTTCCCTACAAATGTCACTCCAATATAAACATCTTCCTCAGAGAAGGAGCTTCATAACTTCTCCACATCAGTTTGCCATCTCATGCATCTACCTGATGATGATCCTATTTCAGGTTTCGACTTTAGGGTCATCCAAATGTGTGGTTGTGGTCCCTGAGATTCTAGAAGTTTTTAAAGTGCAGAATGGAACCCACATCTCTATTAACTCAAATCCAAAGATTAAACAGGAAAGTCGAATTTCCGATCAGTTCAGTCTACATAGCCTGATAAAAATGCAAGATGTGGATTAATCATTTCCAAAATAATTACCATATAGAGAAATATTTCATCTCAACTGCTTTGTTGAGAATTGTGAGACTATCCCATTTCTTCAACTAATAAACTACACTACCATGCTGAAAACTGATTTTGGAATCCAGAACTCTGAAAGAATGCTCTCCTAGATATACTATAGAATCTTGACCTCGGTGATTTCTCAAAATTTTCCATGGCACACATACAATATAGGAAATGGTAATGTTTATATAACACACTGGAGTAAACAGCGCTGGTTGCTGGAGCTAGAGCCAGCCTGGGCCTCACTCAGCTGTACCAGGGGCTGAGTATTCATATCTAGACCCAGCTGTAACACAGACAGCAGCAGGGAGCTCTGGCAAGGAAAATAGAAATAAGCAAGAGAGTGGTAAATTTACCTTCCAACCCAGTCCACTGCTAATCCATCTGGCTGTACTATGTATTTCAGGTTCAGGTCAACTACCTGCACGAGATTATTGCCACCAGTTTCAAAGTTGGGGATATAGGCACGTTTGATTGAACCGAAATTAGAGCCCTCGCCTAGCACAGAGTAATACACGACACCTGCAGAGGAAAGACACACGGGTCGGTTTCATATTAAGAACATCTGCTAAGGGAGGAACTGGTGAGTACTGTTCATTATTGGCAGCCCCCCCTTTCCACAGTTCCTTATAATACAAATAATTCAATTACACCAGTATGATAAAATCCCAAAAGCTTTATGCTTGAGCTATTAGGTACAAAGGCTTTATTTGATAACTTATTGATACTTACTTAGTCACCTCAATTTGAGGGTAATTCATTAAAATATATTTCAGCCAAGAGCGTATTCACTCTCATTAGGATCAAATGCTAGTTTTAAGCTCTAATTTGAACTGAATATATAGATAAACAAGGGCCAGGCTGTGGAGAGTTAATAAAGGAGCCATGTAAATAAGAAGTCCAAATTATGTACAGACTAAAGATCGGCATTTAAAAAGACTGTGATTTTTAAGGTACATGCTGAGAACCTGCTGTTTTTCTAGATTTACATTCTTAGAAGACTTACAGTATTGCATAACTAAGTAAAAAATACAACAATAATAAATCTTACATTGGCATTTTCACATCTATTATCACATTCAATCTTCAAAGCAACCTCAGAGATAGGCAGGCAGAACAGGTTACTACACTTATTTCATAGATTAAAAAAAATGAGACCTACAGAATTATTTAAGGTCATAAAGCTAGTAGATGAATGGGACTGGCATAGAAGGTGTGTTTTTTTTTTGTTTGTTTTTTTACTCTTGCTGCATATATCATCACCTCTACACCTTACAGAGCCATGAGAGACTCCACAATAGGAGTTATTTCTTGAGCACCTACCCTGTACACTATCCTAGATGCTGGGCAAGGTGTTAGGTACATAGAGATGAGTTAGAGCCAATCTCTGTATCCAAAGAGCAAATGAGGAGAAAAATATGTGGACATCTCCTTGTAACCCAATATAACACATGCTTTAGTAAAAGTGGGTATAAAATACTACAGGCTCAGGTGTGAACAATCACGGAACTCTGCCAGAAGGAATTACAGGAGGTGACATTTGAGCTGAGTTTGAGTAGGAATTTTACAAGTGTACAGTGGTAGGAAAAATAGCATCTCTATAAGCAAAGACAATGAAACATTAAAGTACAAGGAGATGTGAGGTGGTACTGCAAGGATAATTCCCAGAGATGGGAGAGAAAGTTTGGCAAGAAGTCAAGAAAGGTTGACTGGGATCAAAGGCCATGAAAGATGTCAGGAGCAAGATGGATAGAAGGAGCTTCCTCTTCCAGTCATGCAATAAAATTCACTCATTTAAAAATAAAGTCCCCACTGGCCTGACAAAGACTGGAGAAACCCCAACAGTATGGCCCCTGGACACCTTTTAGCCCAGTAATGAAGTCACTCCGGAGGTTTACCTTTTAGCCAAAGATTAGACAGATCCATAAGACAAAACAACACATCAGCCCAGGGGCAAGGACTAGAAGGTAGGAGGGGACAGGAAAGCCGGTAACAGGGAACCCAAGGTCATGGGGGTTGTTAATCAATGCCATAAAACAATATATGTACTAACTGTTTAATGAGAAGCTAGTTTGTTCTGTAAACCTTCATCTAAAGTTCAATAAATAAAGTCCCCAAAATTCAACATCTTAAAATTTAATTAATTCAATTAATACCAATGACAGATGTCAAAGTTTATACTTACTGAGGCCTATGCCCTCCGGATCCCAATCATAATCAATAGCTTGAATATGCTCCTCATCTTCAAGATAATCTGAGAATTTCTCAGATGAAAGATTATATTTCCGAATTCTAATGTTGTCAGGCAGTAGCAACAAAGGAGGATTACCTGTAAATAAATGAAGAGCTGCTTTACCTTTCTGAATTCCACCTGAACCTTTTTATATACAGTAAGATATACAATGCATAGCTGGTATCCCCTCTCAACTCTTGCTTTAAAACATAAGTTTTTAAAGGAATCTATCTCTGCTAATCAATAGAGCTGACTACCCAACTGGGTTGCAAAATCAATTACTGTGGACATTTTTGTCTCTATTTCAGGTAGAAAGCTAACATATTTTGTTAGGTATATTATCAATTCTTTATTCTTTATTAAGGAGGAGGTTTAGAGCAAGGCAGAATGAAGAAGGAATTTTTCCCCACTTACTAACCCCTAAATAATCTTCATTTTCACTGATTTCATTTCTTCATTCATTGCCATTAAACAGACAAGATTTAGACATTCCATCTCATGAATAAATAGTGTTTACAGCTCTAGTAAAAATCTACCAGAAAGTCATTCCTTACTTTTTACTGACAGATATTTTAGAGGTAATCAGCTCTATGACCCAATTTAGCTCCTAGCTAATGAGGAAAAACAAAAAACAAAAACCTTGTTCTTGATTTTTACCTAAAGCAGCTATTTCATTGATGACACATCCCGAGAGGCACTGTTTGGAATTTTTTATTTAATTTACTTGAATAATGTCAGTCGAATCCAATTTAAGTAACTTTTAATAGATCATTTTATATATTCCCTCTACCTTGAATTATTCTAATTTATTTCAGTCATGTTCTCCGTACAAAGATTTAAACATTTCTAATTTGCTGCTTAATTACCAGACCAACGGTTCAAATGCCTTTACCCTAGTTTTCGTTAGTGTCAAAAATGTTTGGAGGGTAAAATATTCAAGCATGGTAGTCAAATAAATGCTTTAAGAACCCTATTTATATGAAGAAATCGAGCAACCATTTAGCCATTGTACCCTTAATTTGCAAAATAAGCCTATTTTCTTATCAAGTCCTTTAAACTCTAGCACAAACTCCAAATCTATACTGTCTATACTCCTAAATAGGGTATACTGATTTAGATGAGACCTCTGGAAAGATTATACCTATGACATATTCTTCCTCTTGTCATTTCTGTCTAGTACTTATTACTGCTTTATATCAGGTCTGATTCTCAGATACAGGAATTAGGTTAAAATGTAGAACTAATGATTGACTCCTGTCTATCTGTGATCTGGGGGAGAGGGGAGAATCTGTCAACAGAGCATCCTAGATTTGCCCCAATTCAATATGAATGGTTTTGTGACACATCTTGAATTACAGGGCCTTGGATCCCCACGGAGGTGGGAGCTAGAGGGCTTCATTAATTTCCTTTTCTTGTCATTGGAGCCTTTAGAGGGTGACATCTCGTCCACTTTTTGAAATTTTTATCAAGGTTGGGTGAGAGGCTAAACCCAGAATATAAGTAATACCAGACTCTTATCATTTTAAATCTTATGTATTTGTTGGGGGATTGCAGTGATGGTTTTAAGCTAGCAGGTGAGGAAAAAGAAGAGACAGGATGGGTATTGGGAGAGAAGTAGCTGGTGAGTTAAAAACAAGACTCTTAGGGACTGACATTTATTTTCTGGTATTTCATTACACATTAGTATTTATTCCCCCAAAAGCCAATTAATCCTAACATGAAACCACCGTACCGTCAGCTGCACATCGTTTTCCGTAGGGCTCACCCATAGACGTGAATCCCTCCACACAAGCACATTCATAACTTCCTTTGGTGTTATGACAGTCCTGGGGACAAGTCCCAAACTGCTCACATTCATTGATGTCTGCAGGCAAAAAAATAAATAAACAAACATGCAACATTTGCTCCCACCCATTCCTTATAGACCCTGCTTCCGTTTAAATTCACATTCACAAAGAGGACTGCAAAGAGTACAGATGAAAATAAGCAACAATAGCCAACATAGCTGGAACACTTAGTAAGTTTCGGACAGTGTGTCACATGCTTTTTCATTTAATCTTCCAAAAATCTTCTATGCGGTATAGACTATTATTAAGCCCAAAGTCCCAAAGCTGGTAAGTGATAGAGACATGGTTCAAACTGAAGAGCTTGAATCTGCTCCATAGATGAGCAAAAATTTCCCTCTTAGTAAAGTAGCTGTCATTTTGTTGTTGTTATTGCTTGACATCACTTTCCTTTTGCTCAGGAACAGGAGTCACTGATTTGGATTTTCAGTTGAGTTCTTAATAAGCTTCAGCTCCCATAAGAAATCTTATAACCATCCAAATATGACACATCATGAGTTAGAAACAGTAAATTCAAATAACAAAAGAAAACTAAAATCATACTTATCACTTAACATCTTGATAAGTTACCTTCCAAGTCCATACCTCAGAACTCATTTGCCTGCCCTAAGTGGGTATATAATAAATACATGCTGTTTGATTTATGAAGAAAGTAAGACTTGTGTTTATTTTTCTTTTAAATTATCTCACATGTTGATACTCTGATGGCCATCTCACCAATGTGTTAATAATTCATATCAATTCCAAAAATATTTCCTGAGCATGCACTTTGCTAGTATGTATGTATGCAGGGGGGTAAACCAATTTAACCTCATTAAGGGAATTAAACAGTGATTTAATAAAAAGGAATGAGTGGAAATCTATAATGCACAAGGCTCTCCTAATAAGAATTGAAGGAAACATACCTTGACATAAGTTTCTGTTCGAAGTACCCGCTTTGTACCCAGGTCTACAGGTGCAGATAAATCCTCCTTCATTTAACTGGGTACAATTATGTTGACACAGATTTTCAGCACATGATCTTTGTTCTCCTAAATCTGAAAAAAAAAAAAAAATCCCAGCATTACAAACGAAAGGTATAAACTACATAACTCACAAATGAACAGTTAAGTGGTACACCAGAGTGAACGCCTACCCATCACCAACTATTCTCTGACCTGCCTAGAGTGAGTCATGGTCTCATAAGGCAAGAGTCCTTAACAAGAGCCGAAACCATGTAAAACTGTGGGAGTCTTCCTCAACTCTGATAACCTTCTTGCATTCATTTACATTTCATTTGACCATTTTAATCCATATAACAACTAGATTCCCCAGATCCAGACATATAAAGTCACTCAATTTTTCATTTTATGAAGAAGGAATAAGAACCACTAGACAGAGAAACAGCAAGCTAATCTATCTTTATAATCATATAAATAATATTTGCAACCTGAGGTTAACTTCTTTCTTTTGTAGCTCAATAGAGCTAGAAATAGTAATGTCTTTCCAGGTTTTTAAATATTTTTAAAAGATGAAACATAGGTTTCAAGTACCTCAGTAAGGAGGTGGAAGAGGAAGAGAAGGAGAGAGGAAGAGGATGATGAAGGGAGAAGGAGGAGGAAAAGGAAGACAAAGGAAAATTTATAAAAGGCAAATGCATTAGCAACACCCAAGAACTGGTATTTTAAAGGATTTTATGCCTCAGCCAAAATACCAGCCACAGCAGAAAGACTGAATCCCACATGATAGATCCACTTAGTATCTAAAAGTGATGCTACCTCCATACCCAAATTAATGTCTGTGCTACTTATTCCCTTTAAATAAACACTGCTTTTAATTACATGCCATCTAAAGAAGAAGCACTGTAGTCAGTTTTAAGCCTTTTGACTGACACAGGCAACTAAAAAAGAAACCAGTGTTTGACCCAAACTCCTGGAACAGTTCATATCAATCTCTGGACATCAGAACCAGAATCTGCCATCCAGCTTTGCAAATCCCCTCATGTTCGTGCTTTTTAAATATTTCATCAAGTCACTTCATTATGTCAGAAACGCTATTACAGGCAAAGCAGCTAGGGTCACATAACAATGTGTGTATAAATTTTTGTATGAGAAACTTGAACTGTAAACTTGCACTGAAAGCACAAAAAAAAGAAAAGAAAAGAAAAGAAAATGCTGTGTGACCACAACCAAGTTACTTATGCTCTCAGAGCTTGATTTTATAGATGGAATACAAACAGCTACCTAATAGGGCAAATTAGATAGCGTGTGTGAGAGCACTTCATAAGCTATCGAAGACTATAAAGCTGTGAATTATTAGCATGTCATTCCAACATTTCCACCACAAGATTGATCTAGAACTCTTTCAGTTGTGTTCATCACCCTTTGCCTACACAAAGCCCGCCCTCTACTTAAATAAAAATAAGTGCTCCTTCCAAGGTTCCCTATGGCATTCCTATCTTTATCAGCTACCCTTAGTTGACATCTAAAGCCACATGCCAAAGGTACTGCATGTATAGCTTAAGATGAAAAATGTGCAAAGTAATAAGCTAAATACGTGGCTACAAGGTGTTCAGAAGCATCTAATGAACTGGTATGAGGATGTGCTCTGGATACAGGTATACCGGAGTTCAAATCCTGACTCCACCAATTAAGGGTAGGAGGTCTCTGGCAATTTACATAATCTCTAAGGGGGTGGTGAGTGGTAATTAAACCTAACTCATAGGATTCATTGTTTTCAGGATTAAATGAAATAAACCAATGGACAGTGTTTAGCACTGTGTCTAGTATACCTTCTCACTTTTCAATTATCTCATTATCTGACATTTCACATTTATGGCTACGGTAAAAAATCTACGACATTTGTGCATTAACAGTGTATCTCTGGCAGTTACAAACGTACAAGGCGAGAGTACCGCTGACTTTGATGGTTAAGGTTATGTGTCAGCTTGGCTGGGTCATGATTCTCAGTGGTTTGGCAGTTATATGATGATGTAACTTGGAAGTTATATAATGATGTAGTCATCCTCTACTTTGTGATCTGATGTGGGCATCCTCTACTTTTGCATAACACTGATTTTACATAACAACCTGGTCTTGGAAGCTAACCATGTCAGTAAGTGAGAAGAGGGTGTATAGACTAAGTACTCCATAACAAGTAGCTACGGTCTGAATGATATCCCTGGGTGATGCTAATGGTTAACATGCGCAGCTGGAACTTGGAGGTTTTAGTCCACCCAGAGGCACCCTGGAAGAAAGGCCTGGTGATTTACTTGTGAAAAATCAGTCACTGAAAATCTTATGGAGCACAGTTCTACCTTGACACACCTGGGATAGCCATGAGTTGGAGTTGACTCAACAGCAACAGGTTGGCTGAGGTTCAGAGCACAATTAATCGTGTGGTTATCATCTCCTTTATGTTACTGCACACTTTAATTAGGTAAACATGAGTTACTACAATGACATATAAAAATGAGTATATACTTACTGCAACCTGTTTCATCAAAATGGTCACCACAGTCATCGACATTATCACATACATAGTGCCGTGGGATACAATGTCCACTGCCACACTTAAATTCATCTTCTGTACAAGGTCTAGGGGTTGGAGCCCTACCTATAATTTAAGAACAAATTGAAGTCAGAACTTTTCTTCTGTGAAACAAGATGCTTCCCCCACGTGGCAGCAACAGTTATTCTTCACCAAATCAACACCTGCTTCCCAACATTTCCCAGTTTCCTTTGCACTTAGTTCGGAACCATGACACTAGTTCTGGCCAATTGCCTATGTCATTTCTATACAAAGCAATTAAAAGCCCATGTGCCTCTTACCCTGCTATGGCAAGCTTGGCAATATATATTCCAGGTGGCATAGTTACAAGATAGAGGAAGGCTGTGCAACCTACATTGGCCTTTATATGAGTGAGAAATATGTCTTAGTTATACCACTGAGATTTGGGAATTTTTGGTTGCAGCAGCTAGCTTTCATTACCCTGAATAATACAAAGAATGGTAACAGAAGTAGCACCGTTCCGTAACAAAAACACAAGATAGATGGCAACGGCTTAACAGTTGAGAGGCAAGCGATGAGGAAACTGATATTGGAGGTAAGAAAGATGGAGATGTGTTATGCAATGACAAAGCATTTCATAAAGCTGTTGCCTCTGAAAAATCAGAAGGCAGACCACGTATTTACTGAACTTGTAGATCTAGAGAAAGAGGTTGGAAATACAATGTTAGTAATGTGCATTGGTTGCCTTACCTCAGTTTGGCAAGGTAGGTAAGAACGAGATAAGCTCAGGTAAGAACTGGTTGATTTATAAGCAGAAATGAAAGAAAATAAAGTCCAGAAATTTGTAATATGGGAAAAACCAACTGTTTCTAGATAATAATTCTTAATTTTAAAAGGTTTTGAGAGGCAAAAATCCAGTAAAACGTCTCAGTTGTATAAAATGACTACCCATCTATTTTTCTATATAGCTTGAATGTAACTGACAATCAGTTGAAACACAGGTGCATTAGGGCAAAGAAACAAAATACATTCAAGAGCTACGGGAAGTATAAAAGCTTACTGCTCCCCCTTTCAACTCTCTGCTTTGACCAAGTCCCACAAATGTTTTGCTCCACCAAAAAAAAAGGGCAATACTAATAGGTAAAAGGGAAAGAGGGAAATGTACTAAAAAAAAAAAAGCTTTATTTCCAGTTTCACATCCTTTTGTGTTGTACCTCAAATAAACACCATAACAACCTTATAGCCACAGGTTCATCTCTGCCAAAAAATAAAACAAATAGGTACAAATGTTGTAATGTAATCAAAGTCTGCACTGACACACAGAACCCACTTGAATGGGAGCTGGCAGGGAGTCAAGGCACAGAATTCTAAGGCCACACAATACAAGGGATATAAAATGGAGAAATCAGGCATTTATGTAAATGTTCCCAGATAATATCATTTTAGAAAAAAAAAAGGCAACTGCAGTCAGGGAAAATAACTTTCTTTACTGGCTTTTCTATAGGTATATTAAATTGCCTAGAAAATTGATCAATTCTCTCCTTCAATGGATAGATTTCAAAACATTCTGAAAGTAAAGAAAATTCACAAATTTTTTAATATCTAAAATATTAAATGCAGCCAGTTTGAAATTTCTGCCTTAAACTAATCTATCATTTTTCTCCTCCGCAAAATGCACTTTTATTTGAAAGAAGGCTATTAGGTAAGCTCTGTTAACACCAGTGCTGCCTTATTTAACATGGTATTTTCAGTTGTGAGTTGAGAAGGAATAGTGTCATTCACATCCCTAGATTGGCAGTTAGGTTGGAGAGTGCCCAAACAAACTTCATTTTAGAAAATAAATAAACCATTAATTTGTGAAGTAGCGATGAATCTCAGAAGAAAACTCAACCAATATTTCATGTTTGCTTTTTAAATGTTTAAACAAAGACTAAAAAATTAAGGGACGTGCCAATATCTTGCTCAAATGAGATAGAAATAAGTGGGCAGCGCTGAGAAAGACTTGTGCTTATACAGTCTTGTAAACAATTTTCTATCAGCACACAGAGATCTGCAGCCATAAGTACAACTTCTCTATAGAAATAATTGAAATCCAAGGGGTACATTTTGCAAACTGCAGACAATTAGGGTCCCTTAGCTTTTCCTTCTCCCTTTTGATTTTTGCTTACACTGCTCCTCCCTCTCATCACTTCCATCTCCACAGTCATCCACATGGTTGCACAGCTTGTGTCTGTAAATGCATCGATTGTTGTCACAACGGAAACGGGATAGTGAGTCACAGGGAACATTAACTGAAAGGAAAGACAGACAAGTTAAGTGTCAATATCTGAAATGCTCCCATGCCACTGCCCGACTTGTTTATTTTATTCATTCATTCATTTGAATCAATCAATCAACAAATTCATCTTGAGTATCTATTATACACCATGACACTATGCTAGGCACAAGATACAATGGGGAACAAGAAAGACACAGTCCTTGTCCTCATGGAACTTTCTAGCAGAAAGAAAAGATATTACAAATTAACCATTCAATTATAACTGTGATAAGAGCCACAAAGGAGATGTGCTATGAAAGCATCTACTGAAGAAATCTGGTATAGATCGGGGTGGGAGGGTGGTCAGACAGGCTTCATATGGGAAGGTTCTGAGTTATGAAGGAGCATGGCAGGCATTGAGCCTAAATGAAGGTCTCTGTGGCTGCAGCACAGAGTGAGGAGGACAGGGGTGGCCATGAGGGTGGAGAAGCCATCAGGACATCCGTACATGGGTTCTTATCTGAATGGCCAGGGGGCCACTGTTTCGTCCTTCTAACTGTAGCTGCCATTGTCTTTTCATTAAAGTTTTGTGCTATGATGGACTTTCCTTTCCCTTCACCTCTTACATTTATCAAACTCTGAGAGAATTTATCTAACCCTGAGAGTTAGACTTCTAGCTGTTACTAGAACCCAGATACAGGGGACATGGTCCCTTACGTGTGTACCGAGAATTTGGAAAAGTAAACATATATGTGTGTTCTTATACATAAAGGACTTGGGCACTGTTTGATTTTCCTTCTGCCTTTGCACTACACACAAGGATCAAAAGGATAGATTTGTAATCAGGTTACTTGGGGGAAAAAGTCAGATCCAAGAGCTTGTTCTTGGAAGTATTATAAGTAGAACTATTGCAGGAATTATTTACCGTGACAGGTAAGTGCAACATTATAAAACAGTGTTGGCCACTGTTTAACGGGGTGATGTCCCTGGCTCACCCAAGTTTTAGTTTACTCAGGATGGGCAACAACTTGGAAGCAACTTCCAAAGGATTCCTTTACGGAACGTTATACATGCCTAAGATATTTTTCAAGATTCATCAAGTTAAAAACAAAACACAACACAGTTCCTAACAAGTAAAGAGGTAGGAAGAAAAATGTTGTGAGGAAAGGAAATACTCTTATGTAACATTTTCAAGAGTCAAATCTCTGGACTAAAAATTAGTGATAAATCTAGGAAAGGAAAAGAAAGAGGTGATGTGAGCTTCAGAAGCAAATGGCAGCAGAATCCGACTGGGGACTAAGTTCCAACAGAAATACTCCTGGTGACTTCCTATCGTGCACTGAGGGCTTTTACTTACACAAAATTCTCAAACTTCAGCTTCTATCAGAATTACTCGGAGGGCTTATTAATGCAGAGACTGCTGGACCCTATCCCCAGAGATTCTGATTCAGCAGGTCTGGAATAGGGCCCAGCAGTTTGCATTTGGAACTAGTTCCCTAGTGATGCTGGCATCCCTAGTCCAGGGACTCTACTTTTGAGAGCTACTGTCCTAGCAAACAAACTATTTTTGCTCTATTTTCAACCAGGGGACTAAATTAAATCAGCTAAGGAGTTTTTGAAAAACTAGATATGCACAGGCCTATCCTTGGAAATCCTGGTTCATTGAGTATAGGCTTAGGGTGAGGCCAGGACACGTGATTTTTCAACCCTCCCTCCCCTGGGTGATTCTGACATGTACCCCAATTAAGATTCACTGTTTTTAAAAAAAATGTACATGTGCCTCACACAAGAGAAGCGAAATAGATGATCTTGAATTATGATGTTAAAGGCAAGTGGCTTTAATTATTAACTAGGAGGAGATGCTTCAATGGGCACCAAAAGTAGGATGGAGCAGGAGAATGAGCCCCCCACACTCAGACTTTAACCACAACAGGTCTGTCTATTTATTGTGCTATCAATTAAGATTTCTTTTGAAGAAATTATTTTCTAATGCCATGAAATATTTTAAAACCATGGATGTTTGCCAAATTTTCTCATATTACTTGGCAGGAAGGCCAAGTGAGATCACACCAATGCTGATCATGTGTCGCAGGCCTCAAAAATTGTACAATAACTATCCTACATACAGCATGTAAGAAATATCAAGATTTTGCCAGACAACACCATTCTCATATACTCCATTTTTCTCCCTCTTACTGCACAGGTGAAGTTCTTCATCAGAACCATCGCCACAGTCATCATCACCATCACATTTCCAAACTGGCTGGATACAAACATGGTTTTTACATTCGAACATAGTAGCTGCACAGTATGCACCATTGGGAAAGCGGGTGGCTGTTGGTAGGGAGGAGACATATTCAAATTATTAGAAAAACTTACTACTTTTGGAAAGCAGTCCTGCTATTTTTCCATTAGCTCTTTCCACTATAGCCTGCTTTTCTTTATTCACTGTGGCCTTAAACTGTCTGGGCTTCTGATGGATTTGTTTCTTAAGGACAGTTGTCTAAGCCCAGTTGGGTTCCACAAGCATCACAATTTCAATGACATGAATCATCTGGTAGTTAACACTGGGCTTTTTCTCCATAGGTGAGTTCAACTCCTCCACTGTGTCAGGATTGGCTTTATCCATCATACATTTATCTAGTCTCTTTGAAACTTATGATGTGGCAACCACATCATTAATAATAGCCATTATAGATAATCATTAGCAATATTTATTCAGTGATTCTTGAAGACTAAAATGTGAATGATCACACTGGCTTTATATTTCTAATGACATTTTATATCATGCAATTCAGTAATCGTGAATATTATAAATTTATTGGGTTCTAACACTCAACACAAATTCTTTATACTAGTTTATTCATTGCTCAAGTATTCTTTTTCTACCTGAAATGTTTTTGTACAATGAATTATATAGTAGGTCATATATAAATACTTTCATTAGCACAGTTTACTTAATACGTTCTCTATTGGAAATATTGTTAACAAAATGCACTTGAATGGCTACTGTGTAATATATAGATATATAGATATGGAGACTTGGACCCTAGGTGAACTGATAATTATCAATGGAGGCAGAATAAAAAATATCTATGGCTTTCTAATCTAAGAAGTGGTGGCTGATGGAAAAGGTGTGGTCTAAACTTCCATATTCATACATTTTGGGTCAACATTACCACTGGTATCTAGAGACTTACGACAAGTGGCTTCATCAGAGGCATCGAGACAGTCAGCAATTCCATCACATTTCATTTGCTCAGGTACACAATGTCCACTTCCACACTGAAAATATCCAGGATGGCAGGTTTTCAGCTCTGAAGAGAAAAGATTGGCATTCACAAAAGGCTTTGTCATTCTCAGACAGGTATTAGCTACATGGAGTGAGTACTCCATAGCATTCCTATCTATGCCCAGTGACTGGCTCACAATTTGTGGTTAATGAATGAATAAACTCTCAAAACTCACCCCTCCTTAAGATACAGAGCTAGAAGTACCTATTGCCCCTTCATTAAATAATCTCCAGCTCTTACGCTTTTCCTCATAAATCAGAATTCCGAAACCATAATGAATTTTCTCACACCCAACACTTGATCAGTGAAGAGATATAAAAGTTACTCAAGTTTTATAATTCCTTATTGCAATATTCTGACCTCCATGCCAGGAGCTACAGTTGTATATTCCTTAGGCCGTATTCTGTAGAATAGTAGGAAAACCAATGTTGTTTTTGTTTACAAGGCTGATGCAGATTACAGTTAATCTGACATTCAAATTAAAATTAAAACTTTTATCTATTATCATTGATCTAGACTGCTATAAGATTGAAGCATGGAAAATACAGAGCAGAAAGTACTGTGTTACGCTAAAGTTTATATGTTACATGAGTTACACAAAAATCATTTTACTCTAAAAAATCTTATAAACACTAATTTGAAGTCCCTATTTCTTTCATATATGCAGGCCCTAGTACAAGAGTCTATAGTGACCCTCTTAAAAAATTCTGCAGTTACCGCAGTCTCGCTCATCTGAGTTGTCCTCACAGTCATTGTCATGGTCACAGATCCATCGAGAGGGAATGCAGCGCTGATTGTCACATCGAAACTCACTCTCCGTGCACTCCCGGGGAACTGAAAAGGAAAGTCACGTGGCCATCAGTGGCCACCAGGACTCACACACAAGAAACAGACCAAAGTGCCCTCAGTACCCAAAGCCCTCCTTTGTTCCACATTCCAGAGGTCTGCTTGGGCAGATTGTCCATCCTCCAAAAACAGACCTACTACTTCAAGTCTGTAAAGTCCAAAGGTGATTTAATCTGATGATTGTAATTTTTTACTTCATGAAACTCTAGGTAACCTCTTTTATAAACAAAATGCCCACAGATATTTGCAGGTGTGATCAGCATCCTCATTTTTTTTTTTTTTTTAATTGCCTGTTACAAATGATGAACACCTCTTACTTTGAAAAGGTAACTAAAGTTAGATTGTATTTCATGTTGATCAATTCAAAATTGACATATATCATTAGTCAATGATATAAGTTGTTTTCGAAATATACCCAGTTACTCAGGACTGACCATCTGGTTTGGTGTGACCCAGGCCTTTGGCTTCCTTTTCTTAACCTCACTGCCCAATCCTGGTAGTCAGCACCTTCACTGGGTGAGAAGAACTGAAACGTGGCCTATTAGCTAGCTCTTGATGTTTTTGGTAGCTGCCATCAAGTCATGGCGACCCCATGCACTGCCCAGTCCTGCACCATCCCAATGACAGTTGTGGATCAGACTGTTGTGATCCATAGGATTTTCGATGGCTGATTTTCAGAAGTAGATTAGGCCTTTCTTCCTAGTCCATCTTGGTTTGGAAACTCCTCTAAAACCTGTTCAGCATCATACCATCACACAAGCCTCCACTGACAGATGGGTGGTGGCTGCGCATGCGGTTCATTGGCCAAGAATCGAACCTAGTTCTCTTGCATGGAAGGCAAGAATTCTACCACTGAACCACTATTGCCCCCCGGTAACCATTAGCAATACAAATAAAAAAAACAATACAAGTACAAATTCTTTCTCCTCTACTAGTAAGTACGGGTATTCTGGGGAAAGAGCTTAAGAAGCAGTGTGATGAGTTAGCATCTTTCTTTGCTCTACCTGATTTTCTATTTCTATTTCTGTTCTATTTATCTTATATATGTCCTTTATTTCAAGTCACCTAAGTTCTTTTTGGAAAATGGGTATAAATAAATTTAACAAAGATAAAATTCAGCAAACATCCTCCCAAAGCTTGATTATAAACATCTCAGGAGGACTAATATTAAGAAAAAGTAAAAACGTACCAACCACAAAAAGCAAGAGATCAGACAGCTGTCCTCATTCTACCATTTAAGGAGGAACGGAATAGACAGTTGAATTATGGAAAAAGGACAAACATCACAGCTGTGGTGGTACATAAGGATAACAGAACCCTGAAAACTCACCACAGTTCTCCTCATCTGAGTGATCTCCACAGTCATTTTCACCATCACATCTCCAGCGAAGAGGGATGCAGTAGTGATTATTGCAGCGGAAATCCCCCAAAGGATTGCACGTCATCTCCTCTACAAAGCACAGTTATTGCAAAGACTTCATAAGCCAATGGCCAAGAAATGCACAAAACTGGCTTCCTTGTGAGACTCAGAGAACTATGCTACCATATTTTGAAGTTGGTAGAGAAACGCCAGCAACATTCATTGTCAGTATTCCTCTTTTATTTAACTTCAACCTATCCTACAGCTTGAAATTAGATCTGTTCCCTTTTGTAGAAAATGTTCAAAAACTGAATTGGTATCTGGCTTATATTTGAAACAAAGACCTGGTAAGGAAGAGCTAAAATGATACCACCAGAAAATAGGACATTTGTATCACAGTCTTCAGTCAATTAGACTCCTCAGTGTTATTATTAAAATAACCCATCATCTTCCTTACCTCTGTTATTGGAAATAACACACACACACACACACACACACACACACACACACACACACACAGATACAAATTTAATTATATGCCTTGTTGTTGATTGCCATCAAGTCAGTTCTGACTCATGGTGACCCCACGTGTGCAGAGTAGCACTGCTCCATAGGGTTTTCAAGGCTGTGATCATTTAAAAGCAGATCACCAGGCCTGTCTCCCGAGGTGCTGCTGGGTGGGTTCGAAATGCCAGTCTTTTGGCTAGTAGTTGACCGCTTAACCATTTGCACCGCCCAGGGACTCTGAAAACATGCCTAATCTTGAGGAATTCCATCTTTCCAAGTTGCCAGAGTAGCTACAGCTGCCCAATAAATGATAGGGAAAATCAGAGAGACATTCAGAATATGGAAATTCCCAATCAAAAATGGTTTGATTTGGAAATTCTCCTGTTTTGAAGATAGATACCAAGTCTTTTCCCTTCCCCCGTTTTCCACATATTTCAATCAATAAAATTATAAATAATGATTCCACAAGTTTCTATAATTTTAAGTGTCTTCCCCAATTACAGCATTCTTTGGAATAATCTTGTAATATGCTATAAAAATGTGACATGTTATTAGAAGAATCAGCTGATGGCCCTTTTTCAGAGGTGAACAGAAGGACACGGGAAACCCACTCTCATCTCCTAACACCGGCACTTAACACAACAGTTTTCTTGACGCTACCCCATCCCCAGTCCCAGTCACTACCCCCAGTCCCCTGGGTCCCTCTTACCACAGCCTTCCTCGTCACTGTTATCCCTACAGTCATCAACACCATCGCACACTGTCCACTGTGGGACGCAGCGGTAGTTGGTTTTACAGCTGAAATCCGTATGGTTATCACAGCGATACGCAGACCCCACTGAAAAGGGAGGAGGCAGCAAAGTCAGAACTGAAGTCTCAGTGCTGCTCCAAAACTGCACAAGTAGATACCTTTCCACTGTCACATTAAAAGTGTAACAATTACCACAGTACCAACTAAATTGACTCTGGCAACACTGTGTCTGGTTTAAGGTTGATCTGTTCACCAAACCAAACCAATCCCACTACCGTTCAGTCAATTCTGACTCATAGCAACCTCACAGTTTCCAAGGCTGTAAATCTCTGTGGAAGCAGACGGCCACAGCTTTCTCCCACAGAACCACTGGTGGTTTCAAACTGCTGACCTTTTGGTTAGCAGTCGATCGCTTTAACCACTGAGACACCAGGGCTCCTTTATCTGTTCACCAACAGCAGAAAAATAGAGTGTCCTAAGTATCCTCACTATCTCAATAAAATAAAATAGCAATACAACCATTCACTTTAACTTGAGCTTGTTTTCACCTCCATAAAACAGGAGTTGGTAAATCCCACCTTCCAAACCACACAACATTTCTCTTAGGCAACATTTCTCATATACAAAAATGTAAGTTCTTATCATATTCTGGGTGGCTAGACATCCACTGAATCAAGAGAAGGTATCTGCAGGACATACAGCTACTTTTTGCCTTGTAGTGCCAAAGGGAGAGCCCCAGGCACCTGAAGCAGGGAGCTCCACAGCCTCTGTTTGTTTCGCTGCTCCTGGCCCTCCCACAGGAACTTACTGCATTCCTGGATGGGCTCATCTGAGTAGTCTCCACAGTCATTGTCATGATCACACTTCCAAGACTGGGGGATGCAGCGGCCATTATCACACCTAAACTGGCCCGGGAGGCAGGTCCTGGTGGTACAGTGGGAACTGTCTTCATCTGAGTTATCCAAGCAGTCATTCTCCGAATCACACTGCCAGGATTCTGGGATACAACGTTTGTTGGCACACTGCCATTCATTGGATGCACACCGGTGATTCTCTGCAAGCAGGGGCATTTACTTGGTTATCAGCTCAGGAGGCATCAAAAATAAGAGCTCCTAATTTACATTAATCAATCCTGGAGAACTGAAGCATAATTTCTTTTTAGAAATCAATTGCAATCAATCAACTACATGAGCAGTTATTCTTTTGACTATTACTGTCTCCCAAATTCTTAAATATTTTTTCCTTGCACTCAGAATTAGTACATAAGGATTGAATCACTGATGGCCTGCGAAATCCACCTTCTCCTGTTGGACAATGGTTTTCAAACTGTGTTTGTTGCTGCTGTTGTTATTTGTCTTTTTATGGAAACATAAATAAATATTACAACTGAGAGTCCTTGTTTCAGTTGGAGGTGTGGAATCTCATTCTACCCTCAACATTAGCTCTCCAAGAGGATTCTATGCACCTGGTGATGAGCCACCAATACAGACATCTTACTATTTATCTCAACCATTTGCATTGTAGTCCTAAGGACTTTGACCAGTTTTTGGCTTATGACATTCAATAAACCCCCACAGAATCCCATCTGTACACAACTAACTAGAGAAGCGGGCAAAACAAGCATAAAGCAATCAAACCCACCACAAAGAATACGGTCTTCATCAGACCCATCAGGGCAGTCTTGGTGACTGTTGCATAAAAAGTGTGAGCTGGTGCAATTGCCATCACTGCACTGGAACTGTCCCAAACGACAGTAGCGTGGTGGACAAAGGGCCGGTTCATCGGAGCCATCTGCACAGTCTCTCTGTCCATCACATTTCCACCAGATAGGAATGCACCTGCAGAGAGAAAATGCAGCACTTCTCTAACAAAGGAGGACAAAGAAGGAGATAACAGCTTTCTGAAGAGAAGGTGTAACACTGACTTTTGAGTAGGGGAATGCATGAGTTCCCCCATGGCCTAGAAGAGGATAGATTAAACTGGTCTATTTTCAGAGAAAACATAACCCGATGAGATAGAATAGATTTTTTAAGATCTAAATATACGCTAAACATGTAATTTGGGTATAATGAAAACATTTCTACCATGACAAACACTGGAGTGTGTGTTTTGGGCTGTGGCTCTAGTAGCAGTGATTAACTGTCTACCAGGGTGATATAAAAAGACAGTCATTGGGAAGCTGGAAGGTACTAACATTTGTTGAGTAGCTGGCTCATGATAGGTGCTTTCCTAGATTCTTAATCTAAAATATGTAATATAATCAGCAAAATAATCTGCCACTGAACCTTAGATGCTATGATTAAAGCCACTTTCTGACTTGGTTCCCCTAGTCATAAATGGCATGTGGCCATTAGCAAAGGGAAATAATCAGAGGTCATGTTTCATAGCAAACACAAATGATCAAAAATGAAATTGAATGGATAGCACTGTATTCTATGGCACAGTTAACTAAAAAGCTAGGTCAGTATATGTATGGGAAAGACAGTGAGAGTCTATCACTACTTTTAGTAGTCTATGGCTACTTTTCAGTATAAACTCTGCCCCTGAAACTTATGAAAATTTATGGTAAATAAGAAACACACAGTCTACTTATTCTCTACAGATATAAAAACTTGCATATGTAGGCAGAACAGTTTGGTTACCAGATTCGTTATATTCATGGAGGGAATTATCTGACATTGGAGCCTGGTACTGTTAGTGAATTCAAATTAATTACCTAAAATCTTGGCTCATTAGAAAACCCACCAATGTGTGTCCGAGGGATGCAGAGGCACTGAGGGGAGAGAAGAAAGAGCCTTACCTTTCACTGTCAGCACATAAAAACTGGGTGCTGGAGCACATGGGTAGGCAGCGGGTAGTCCCACCGAGACGGAGGGTCATGAAGTGGTCTGGACATTCGCAGGTGAATCCTTGGCCTCCCTCTTTGATGAGGCAGAGATGAGAACAGCCACCATTGTTGACACCACAAGGATTGTCCACTAGTGAAAAAGGAGCAAAATATATGTTCATTTTCTTAAATAGAGTATCAAGCACAGATTAACGGATCACTCACCTTGACATTAAATTTATTATCCTAGTTCAAAAATTGGACAGATTATGTGAGCAACACTGTGTTTAGAGAAAACTCATTTTTGTGGTACTGGAAGTGAGGCATAGACACTGATATTTTAGGCTAGAAAAAAGTGTGTTCCTCAAAGTCCTACGAGAGCAGGTGGGAAACTTAGCTCATATCCAGAAGCTAGGGTAAAGATTCAATTTCCAGTAGACACTATAGTCTCTCATTGTAAAGATACGAGCAACAGAAGTTTGGACAAGAATGATATGGATGGATAAACTGAGCAGTGTCTAGGTCACCATTTAGAAGTAAAGATTAATTTGAACTTCTGCTAAAATGTTATAAGGAATATTAACTTTCAGAAAGAAATATTGAATATTTTTTATTTTGCTAATTCCCAATTTTTCTTACTGCCCAGTTTATCATACATTTTAACAAGACATCACAACAAAGCAGGCCCACAAAATCCAGTCTGCCCCCAAAGTATTCTCTAAGCCTTTGCTAGAATATCTCTAAATCATGAATGGCTTTAATTGCCTCTTTAATTAAGAGGAATATAAGCTCATAAGCAAATAGCTGAAATGTATTGCTCTCAATGCAGGAACAACATCATGGGTACGTGACACAAGGTCATACACAAATAGATACTTAATAAATCATGTTTTATAATGACTGCAATTTTCTTATAAACATTTCTTTTAAAATAGATTGATCTTGGTATTAAGGAAAGATTGTTAATTTCTTAGGTGTCATAATCAGATCTTGTGGTTATGTAGGAAATGCACTTAGGGCCAATATGTCATGTTTTTAACTCATTTTAAAATACTTCAGTCATCCCACCAAAATAGGTCTAGTAAATATGGCAACATAACAACTGTGAAGTCTTACCAAGAAAAAAACAAAGAATTTAAAACAGCCTTTCCCAGTGGTAGGGAAATAAACTCCGTACGCTCAATTCTCAGCATACACTTTGAAGAAAACATTAACAAGTAACACCACACCCTTCATAAATCATGAAATTCATGCTTAAGGAGACAAGAATGACACACACATAAACTATAGCAACTGTGCCATACTTCTGAACCACTGACTCACCAACCGGCTGCCTGTATGGATGATACACGTGGATGTCAAATGGTCTATGTGTTATGTTCATGAGCTCCATCTTATTTGATCCATCATATTTGTTTCCCTTTTCAACTGACCGCGTATTCCAATCTGTCCAATAAATAGTGTCTTCAAAAATAGTAATAGCAAAGGGGTGTGGCAGTGTCCCATCATACACTGTGTGCCGATGGTGGCCCTCCAAATCAGAGTACCTGGGGTTGTAGGAAGAAACAGTCACTCCATGAAGAAGATAACCCCACTCCTCCAATGCCTTTAAGGATCAATGGATTAACAAATCAATTAATAAATGTCTACTGGCGATTATAGCCTAGGGAACCCCATGGGACAGTTCTACTCTGTCAATATAGGGTTGCTATGAGTTGGAATCAACTCAACAGCATACACCAACAGAGGTAACTGAAGAAACCCTGGTTAGTGCTCGGCAGATAGACAAAAGGTTGGTGGTTCAAACTCACCCAGCAGCTCAGCAGGAGAAAAGACCTGGCAATCTGCTCCCATAAAGATTACCAGAAAAACCAAGACCATTGCCATCAAGTCAAAGTTGTTTCTAAAATACAGGCCCTAAAACCTGAACGGGAAGAAGATTGAGCTAGCCCCTAAGAAGCTTGATAATGTTAGCCATGGGTTGTTAAAAATATTTTCCAAAATATAATAATGTATGGTAACACAGAAGCCATAGGAACTTGAAGACCTACTTGGCTTCTGTCAATAAGAACGTAGGTAAACAACCAGTCCTTAGTTACCACGTATTTAAAAAAAAAAAAATCATAGACCAGACAGTGGCCCTGAGACCTTGCACGATCTCTGTATAGAGATCTCAGACACATTTATAAGTATATTTTGTCAAGTACTTGCTGGTGCATCCAAAGCTGTACTACCTGTACTAAATGTACTAACATGTGCTAACTGGGGAGAATTCTGGAGGAATATCCCAATTCCACAAGAGAGTTCTGGAATTAATTAACTATGTCTGTCATGAGCATAGGAAGAAAGTGCGTTAGCACATGTGACAGGTATTCATCCCTTCTCAGTGGCATATTAAGACAGCATGGGGTTAGGGAGCTTCAAAAATTTCCACACTGACTTTGGCAACAAAATAAATTTAAAAGAATGCAGAATTTCTAAAGGCCTCTAAACTTAGCTCTATTGAATTAATGTCACCTCCGTCCCTTTGAATGCAACAAGCTGTAACTGGGTACTTGTCCACAAAGACACCACTACAATCTAAGTAGGTCACAAAATGGACATATACTGGTTATTTAATAATGTGTATTATATTTTTAATTGAATGGTATAATATTTAACACATTTTTAAAAAATTATCCTATTACCAGCCTCTACTCCTACCTAAAACACTTAATTGTACTTACCATTAAAAAAAAATTTTCCAATACTTTTGTTCTTTTTTCAAATACTTAAAACCATTAATCATATATTTGATGTGGAGGGCAAAGTAAAGGGATAAAGAAATTAGCATGAGTTGAGCACTAAGCAGATTGATTACCACAAGGGAGGTATTGCTAGCACCAGTCTCCTAGATGAAAAATAAACCCGGAGGTATGGCTCCAAAGTTCACATTCTTTCTACCGCACCATACCACAAAGCTCAGTAAACCGCCTGTAGGCACTTTTAGTTAGCAGCACCCTCAGAGTGACTTTCAACGCACAGGCCAGTTAGGGGCCACATGGGACTAATACACTGGAAACTCAAACTTGGTATTTGGAATAAGGAGGTACCCAGTTGTTTTACTCTTCTCTATGTACGTACTCGATATAACCCAGGTGTGCATCTGCCCAGTACAGTCTATCATTGGTGTAGTCAATGGTGATGCCATTGGGCCACTCTATCTTGGTAGAGATAATCACAGACTTATTGGTTCCATCCATGCCAATTCTCCCAATGTATGCCCGGTGACCCCAGTCTGTCCAGTAGACGTGCCTGTTTGAACAAACACAAAGAATTAGTTCCTGAAGCCAAAAGAATCCAGCAGCCAAAGATCATAGCTCTTCTCCATGTAGTTTACATTCTATAGAGTCTCTCAGAAAGGAAAGAGAGCTAACCAGAAATAATCTGTACGAGAAAAATGGGCATGATATATAGGAAATGCTCAAGAATGAACATGATTAACTATATATTTCAGTGGATTTGACATGGAGAGTCCAGTAAAGATGTGTTTTGACCACAATTTTCTTTGCTTGCAGCTGAAACACGTGACTTGAAAGGTAAAAAAGTGTGTCATGCCAAAGAAAACAGAAAAGCTTATGAATATCATTTGAACAAACCATGCTACTAACCATTATACTAAACCACTTACTAGATAGGAAAAGTGGAAGGAAAACCACAGCAAGATATTGGCCTTGAGATAATTATGTGAACAGCCTTTTGGTAATGAAGACAGAATAAGGGCATAAAAGATTATAGTAAGACAATACCCATATCGTGGGTGAAGCACGATTCCCCTGGGATTTTCAAAGCAGAAGGTGTTGTTCACATCCACACAGTGCTCAGCCAGCTTGCGGCGGAATCGACCATTGAGATCAGAGACAAAGAGGCCATCCAGTCCAGCATCCAACCAATAGAGCTTTCTGAAATAGAGAATTGATTGTTACTGATACAGCCACATTGCTAGTGAGCTGTGCATATTTACCCAGGCTACCTTGTAATTACACAGACAGCTGTTAGAAGGCATTTTTCTCAGGTAAATGAGAATAGGAGAAACAGGAAGTTGACCTTCTTGCAATGAGGCAACAGAAGATGCAAGAGTGTGTGCTACAATCTCAACTTTAAAGTCATGCCACATACAGAATTCTGAGACCACACATCACATGAGGAGTCTGGTTTTACTTTCTTCATGAAGCATAAGACATCCTTCCCACTCAACAGGAAAGCATAGAGGAGCAGAGAAGCTGAAGCAATAAGGTCATGAACTACAGTTTAAATGGTGGAGTAAAGGAAACAGAATTATCTAAGCACACCACTAGAAATTGCCCAGCATAGCAATGGGTTGAATGCTTCAGTGAATCATCCCTCAGTGTCCTCTCCAGTTAGCTGAGTGGCCAGCAATAGCAGAGCTCTTTACTCCCTTATGATGCTCTTCTCCATAAAAATGACACCATAAACTCTTAAAAATCACTATATTTTAGGCTCCATGGTATCCCATTTGAGTATCAGGTACACAGCAGAAAAAAATATACATATGCGAAAGTATTCACTATATTCACATAATGCCCCAAGTTTAAAAGATCAATTCCCTACTAGTGAAAAGAAATATTTTCTTACCTGGTAACCCAATCTACAGCCAGACCTTCTACAGCTGGTAGATCGTGGTTTATGACTGTCTCTCGATTTGTCGTATTCAGAAACATTCTCTCAATGACTTTCCTCTGTACATCAGCCCAGTACAATCTGTTTTCTACTCGGTCAAAATCAAGTGCCACAACATTGCCTAGTCCTTGTAAAATGATAGAGTAATACTCGCCATCTATAGCTAGCTTTCTCAAATAGTAACGGTTGCTAAAAATGAGATAGGGTGTGATGTTACTATTCTGCCGACAGCTCTTTCCATCTGGCTCACGAATATAGCCTGGGGCACATTTACAGATGTAGGAGCCCATTGTGTTCTCACACTTCTGGCTACAGACAGAGGGCGTCTCCTTGCATTCATCAATATCATCACAACTCCGCTTGTCAGACATAAGCTTGTAACCAGGACGACAAGAACAATAGAAACTGGTTTGGGTGTCTGTGCAGTTCTGATCGCAGCCACTGATTGAAGGGTCATTGCACTCATTAATGCCTGTAGGTAAAAGACAGTTATCAGAGGACCTAAAATGACCGCCTAACTGATGAACTAGTCCAAAAATGCTTTGTATAGCTACCTTACATATGTCCTGATCTTCTGATTCACAAGCAATAGTGATTTTCTGGCAACGTTTTACTTAGAGGACGGACTAGAGAGTCCTGATAAGTCATAAAGGGTTGAGTATCTACATTCAGCTTCCCCCTTTTCCCTTTCCCAAATCTTCTGTTATACTCACCACACCCTCTCTCATCACTGTTGTCGGAACAGTCGTCTAGGCGGTTGCAGATTTTCACCAGTTCAATGCAGTTCCCATTGTCACACTTGAACTCATGAGGGGGGCATGTGGGTTCTGGGGTCCGGCACAAGTGCTCCAGCTCATCAGATTCATCTTCACAGTCATTGTCCCCATCACAGATGTAGCCCTTTGGAATGCAGAGCCCGTTCTGACAGGTAAACTGATAATCAGTGCAAGGCGGGTAAGTGCAGTTCCTCTCATCACTGTAGTCACCACAGTCATTGCGCCGGTCACACCTGTGTAAGGAGACCCAATACCATACTTGGAGAGGTTAACAAGTCTCAGCTACGACCTACTTGGGGCTTTGTTCCTTCCTCCTCTATCTATCTGGATGTCAGGTCAACCATTTCAATGACATAATCACCAGCCCCCTCGGTTTCCTTTCCCTCAGAATCTTCATCCACCCCACCAATCTCCAGCTCTAGAAGAATCCAGCATTTGGTATTCCACATAACTTCTCCAGGTGCTATTTGCTACCACTGGAAATTTGAGTCTAGGCCTATTAAAAATAATTACATTCATTTTCCCCAGGTGGTATATTAATTAAATACAACTTTTATAATCTTAGTGTTTATTAGATCTATTCATCAGATGATGAGAAAGCTTATGGGCACAGGCAATACCCTGGGTAGCCATAGGATACAAGTGCCCATACCCAATTGGAAACTCATAGACATGTCCTCTAAAAACACTTATCTTCAAATTGGGGTAGTCAGTGGTCCTATTCCTTTCATCTTTCATTTGAATACTCCTGACAGCTATCATGAGATGTGAGTTGCTATGATGATGGAAAGGAGGACAAACTAGTAGATGAGTATGGAATATTGACAAACAACGAAGGTATTTCATAGTTCTACACGCTATCTTGGGACCTAACATTCCCAGGCTTCAGGAGGACAATAACATTTTCTGAAATTCTGTAAGTCACACTGCGCTTTCTTCTCTATATTATCCCAAGATCCCGTGAAAGCTGGATAAAAATGGGCAAAACTAATGTTTGACAAATTCATAAAACAATTAACCATGGAGACGTAGGAGAATGAGGCAGGGCATTAAGACATTAATTAAGTTAAATGTGGCCAGTTTTACAACTGACCTATGATCAAAATCTACTAAGCAGCACTGCCATCCACAAACCCAGGGCACTGTCAATGTGATTTATATCAATGTGTGTGCATGTAACTGTGAAGCGAGGTATCAAAGCTTATTTGGTCTCCTGGGAACTATTTAACTCATTTCCAAATGATTTGAGACACCAGTGTTTAGATCTAGTTTAGATCCAGCCCATGAGTTAGGCAAGTAATTACCACATTTTCAGACCCACATGCACGTCAGTATTCCAGTGAACTGCTCACAGGTTCTTCAGAAGCATCAGTAATGAGCAAAGAGAAAAAAATCAATAGGAAAAATGATCCCCTGTACCACTGTACCAAAAAGGGGAGCACGTGTTCTGCCAAGCAAGCAAGAGGGTTCATATTAACAAAGACAGCGGAAAGAGAAATACTCCTTGTACCCATGGAAAGCCAAGAGGGTCACCTGTTTCAAGAAAGCATTTTCTTATATCAAGCCCACTTCACTCATCTCCCTGGCTCCCTGGCCACATGATGCCTTTCATGGGCTCTAGGCACTTTTGCCTTCATGAGCCCCTTTCTCCATAAAAAAATATTAAAAATTGTATCTTATGACTGCATGGGTATAAAGGCAAATATGTTAATATTATATATTAAAATTCCTTTTTTTTTCTTCTGTTCTTATTTTTCTTCTGATTTTAAAAGAAATTCAAACCTTTCCACAGGCCACAAAGTATTTTGGGCCCTAGGCACTGCATCTACTATGCCAAATAGATAAGTCAGTCCTGCCGCCATGGACATTTGAGGTTTGCTGGGGAAATTTTTACTCCCCAATTCACCTGTACGAGTTCCGGATACAGAGGCCATTATTACAGGTGAATTCATTTGCAGAGCAAGATCTCCTGGTGCAATTCTGATGTTCATCATAGGCATCACTGCAGTCTGCATCGCCATCACACACCCAAGCTTGGGGAATACACCTCCTGGAGGGAGGGACACTGTTTACACAGAAAAACTCATAACTTGCGCAGGTATGATTCTCTGAAACCAAAGCACAGAAGAAGCAAAAATCACATTAGAGTATATTTACTCTGCACCATTTTTCTCTTCCTTTAGTACACTGTCATGGATGCAATTGTGTCCCCCAAAAATACGTGTCAACTTGGTTAGGCCATGATTGCCAGTATTGTGTGATTGTTCACCACTTGCTCATCTGATGTGATTTTCCTGTGCTGTAAATTCTGTCTCTACGATGTTAATGAGATGGTATTAGTGGTGGTTATGTTAATGAGGCAGGACTCAGTCTATAAGATTAGATTGTACCTTAAGCCTATCTCTTTTGAGATATAAAAAAGAGAAGCCAGCAGAGAGACATGGGGACCTCATACCACCAAGAAACAAGAGCCAGGAGAATACAGTATCTTTCGGACCCAGGGTCCCTGCACTGTGACGCTCCTAGAAGATAGCCAACAGAGAGAAAGCCTTCCCATGGAGCTGGCACCCTGAATTCAGACTTCTAGCCTCCTAGACTGTGAGAGAATAAATTTCTGTTTGATAAGGTCATCCTCTAGTGGTATTTCTGTTATAGCAGCACTAGATGACTAAGACAGATACTCAACATTCTGAGGGATAAAAGGAAATGGGAGGAAAACAGGTAGACAGATCACACTGCATTGGTAATTACAATCCACAATAAAAATACCTCCAAAAATTCCATTTTAATTTTTCCATAAAATTTCCATAAAACTTTTCCCTTAAGGTTTAAGAAACTAGACACCAAAACTGTAATATTTTGGTAGTATTTTATAGTTTACAAAGTGTAATAACACAAGTATTTTTATGCTAATTCTACAAGTGAGAAAATTGAAGCTCAATATGGTTAACAGCCAGGGATTCAAACATTTTTTTTTTTCCTACAAATATAGTGCTTTTTCAACTACATTATAGCTATGACCCCATATAGAATTAGGGTAGATGGAGAGACATATGTCAACAGGAGTTTTTTTAAAGCATCTAAGTGGATGATAGCAAACAATTCCAGAGAGAACATTCTGTCAATGTGCATTCAATTAAAGAGCAATCTGCCTGAGCACCATACTTTCCAAAACAACCCTACTGTGTTCTGCTGGAATGTGACTCTGTAGAGGAATTAACTGGCCTCACTTACCACAGTGATGTCTTTCATCCTCATCACTCATGTCCCCACAGTCATTATCACCATCACAGATCCAGTTTCTTAAGATGCACCTTCCATCATCACACATGAACTGTTCACTGGAGCATGTTCGCTCATAGAACACTGCAAAAAGGTAAAAAACACTCTCATTGAAAAAAGCGGTTTACAGTTCAGAATCTTGGGAGAGATCTGTTGTAGCATGGGTTGTCTAGGAAACTTGAAACAGCATTATCTAGTTGTATATACCTATGCCAGGTCCTCAAGGAGACCCATTCCAGTGACCAATGGTTTGAGGTTAAAGTAGTCGATCAACAGTGCCCTAAATATCTGTGATGAGATGAGATTTGTTATTCCCTTGCAGATATGGTAGATAAACAACAGTACTTTGCAAAGGGAATATATATATATAACCTACACCTTCACATGTTTCTATTTTTAAATCTATTTTTCAATCAAAATCATTGTTTAGTGCAAATCACCACCCCTAGCACTCCTGATCCTCAATTCCTGGCTCTCTTTTTCCTTTTTCAAATAGCACTTACCACCTACAAGCTCCTTGTAGATAGGAATCTTTGTCTTATTCACTGATGTAGCCTGTCATAGAATGAATTATGTCCCCCAAAAAATGTGTGTATCAATTTGGCTGGGCCGTGATTCCCAGTATTGTATGATTATCTACCATTTTATCATCTGATGTGATTTCCCTATGTGTTGTAAATGCTATCACTATGATGTAATAAGATGGATTAGCGGCAGTTATATTGATGAGGTCTACAAGGTTAGATAATGACTTAAGCCAATCTCTTTTGAGATATAAAAGAGAGAAGCGAGTGGAGACACATGGGAACCTCATACCACCAAGAAAGCAGTGCTGGGAGCAAAGCGCGTCCTTTGGACCTGAGGTTCCTGTGCTCAGATGCTCCCAGACCAAAGGAAGACTTATGACAAGGACTTCCTCCAGAGCCAGCAGAGAGAGAAAGCCTTCCCCTGGAGCCTGAATTTGGATTTCTAGCCTACTGGACTGTGAGAGAATAAACTTCTCTTTGTTAAAGCCATCCACTTGTGGTATTTCTGTTAAGCAGCACTAGATGACTAAGACATAGCCCAAGGGCCTAGAGCTAGGTAAATGCTCAATAAATATTTATTAAATTATGCTTTAAATTAGCCATTCGTGATTCAACTAATCAAAGTATCAGAGGCCCATAACCCAGGGCCACTTCAAAATACACCTAAGACAAAAGAAAATTTAATTTTAACTATTAAATATACAGCACAATGATAACAGTCAGGAGAAACTGGTATGACAGGAGTGGACATTGATACAGTCTTTTTGAAGAGACATACCCCCTGTGATACAGCAACATCACTTCTAGAAATCGAGCCTATAAGAATCTTCCCGTATATGCACAAAGAGACTTATAAAAAGATGTTCATTGCAGCATTATTTTCAGAAATAATCTAGATGTTAAGATACAAACTCATGGAACATCCATACTTTACAGTAATATTCAGGAGTGCAAAGGAATGAGGTAGATCTGTACTTGCTAATAAGCTGACAAGATGTAAAACACACACACACACACAAAGACAAATTGCAGAACAATATATATAGTAGGATCTCATTTGTGTTTTAAAAAACATGATATATAGATAAAAATGTAAGGAGAATCCATACCCATAATTAAGGAATGAGAGGACTGGAGAAGTGGGAATTTTAGGGTTTTTTTTTAATATATCTCTAATATATTTCTACATTTTAATTACTACAGTGAGAATGAATTCATATATAGCTTCTTGCTATTACTTTGGTTCCCTTGGGCAAGGCTTCAAGACTTCAATATGGTTCATATATTTGAACCACTCTCTATGGCTATTCTAACTCAGTTATTATCTTCCTTACAGATCCTCAAAGCTCCATGTACCTTTTTCTTTCTACAAAACATTCAGTATTGAGAAAAAAGAACTTCGCAAACAGCACCAAACTATTAACCACAGAATTTCAACCTGAGAGAATAGAAAGCATTCTGAATACACCTGTAACTCTGCTAATGGTCCAAGGAAATATTCTAAATGTAAAAAGTTTTAAATAGGTTAGTAATTACTGCAGCAGTGTTTATAATAGAGGAAAAAATGAAAACAGTCTAAATGCTTAATAATATAACCACTCAATGGAATCTTATACAGTCATTAAAAGAGTATGAAGACTATATAACACGCATCAACAAACTGTTTATTAACCAGATAGTAAATATTTCAGGTTTGTAGGCCATATGGTTTCTTATTGCACCTATTTGACTCTGCTATTATAGCACAAAAGCAGCCAGAGAGAATATGTGGCTGGAGTACAGCCATAGTTTGCTCACCTCTATATGGCAATATGATTTAACAGCAGACAAAAAAGCAATGTAGAAGATTGTTATCTTCATATTTTTACAACTACGTAAAAAAAGTGCAGGTATATAGATGAGAACTTGCAATGGTAAAAAGCAGCCTCCAGATACCAACAGGGACACAATAGCCTCTAAGCACAAGAAGGCCCCTGGAACTTCTTGAGAACCTAAGATGGTCATGGGACCTCACCTCATAAGCTGGCACAGAGATAGAACCAGAAGAAGGTATGTGCCCATACTGTGCACCTGTCCCATATATATGATGATTCCAATCACTTTTGGATCCTCCCTCAGCCTTATGGGCCAGAACTCAATCAAATTCAAAAATTCAAATTTGGAGTTAACTAAAATTAATTGAGTGATACAAGCTAGGCACTATACTAGGTGCATCACCAACATCATCTCATTTTACCAATATCATCCAGCAACCTCCATGTTCTACACAGTGACAGATCCCCACACAGTGCTCTGCACTAACAAGTCTTTAGTGAATGTCTGCTGAGGGGTTTCAGCATCCCAGCTGGCAGCAGGAGCAGGGAGTGTCACCATTCAGCAGCCATGAGCCTGCTCTGTGTTTGGAGTGGCTGGAAGAGACAGAGGCCATTGATGCTTTTCAATCTTGCTTACTCTCTTACCACAAGAGGCAGGTTCATCAGAGCCATCACCACAATCTTGGTCTTGATCACAGTACCATCGAGAAGGAATGCATCGCCCAGTCCCGCACAGGAACTCAGTGTCGGTGCATGTGTTAGCAGCTGGAGGAGGTGAAGAAGATAAAACCCATGAGCAACACACAGCTTGTTCCCCATTAATCTTAACCATCTGCCTTTTTCTATGAACTGGATAATAATTACCAGGAAAGGAAGACTGGGGAGGGGAAATAGGTATTTGTATAAGCCTTCCATAGGAAGGGAAGAGTATTTGAGAGAGAAAAAGTCAATACTGCTCTAGTTTTCCAAAAGAAAAAGAAAAAGTTAGAAATATCATGTATCTATTATACATGAAATCAGCTACACAAGTTATATAAAATAACGTGTAATTTCAGAAATTCCTTTGAGATAATAACTGAAAGCAAAAGCACCAATGTGACCATACCTGAGCTCACCCCACGCCCAACCTTTTAGCCATATTAGACCATGTCTCTAGGGAGTTAGCAACATTCTCCTCTTACTCACCCTCGTGCTATGGAACATTTATTTGTGTAAATGGAAGACTGTACCTATGTCGGAACACTGATTCTTTTCTTAAATAAACTTAGGTAGTCCTGGTCAGGTGTATTTCACAAACTGCTATGTGGGTCCAAACCAGAATCAAATCTTGTAATTTGTCTAGTCTACAAGGCTCCCTTGTTTTGGCCCATAATATTTGAAAGGTCAGCAATAACTCCCAATCTGTCTGGCCCTATCTGATGTATGCTTCCTGAAATATGCTTCCTGTTCTTGAACTATAGCCTGCTCTGGTGAATAATTATTATGATGTCCTTTGGTTTCCTTGACAGGACTAGGGACCAGAGTTTAAGTTCGTCTATCTTAAACATACATCTACCTATTTACATGAATAGGAACTTGTTTGATTGAACCAAAATGCTAAATATGAAATAAAAAATTTATGAAATTCAAACATAGTAAGCAGATATAAAACTTCTTTCAATTATAGTAAAACCTGCAAAAGCCAGAACTGTGTAAGGCAAAAACCTGTCAGAGAAGGAAAACGCAAATATTTCCCACTGCACCCTGTAAAAGATGGAAAACAAGACAGTGGAAATCCAGCTCTCACAGGTTTCACTGTATTCATGGCCATCATAATCATATTAACAGTGAATAATAAGGATTTAGTGTACCATGGCAAAACCTGGAGTTCCTGAAAACAGAAGGCCTTCAACACTCGGAGAAATAGCTCTACAACTGTAGAACGTTAGGTACCAAAGCAGGTCTCTGGAAGAAATATTTGGGTTCTGGAGTACCCAGCCAGGGAACAGGGAGAAGGGGCTTCTAAGGCCCTTCCAATCACATTCTAAAGCAACTGCCTACTGCCTCTCCTTACAAGGTTAATTTGAGATAACAAATTGAAACTAACTCAAACACCCAGGTTGTTTAACTTGGTATTAGCTCAAGACATACATCCCTGGAACCAAAGAAAGAGATGTAGGTCTAAATACTCACCGCAGTAAGTGGCACTTTCATCACTCATATCTCCACAGTCATTGTCTCCATCACACAAGTAAGTGCGAGGAATGCAAATGTTTGTATTCTGACATTTTGTGTATCCAGGCTGGCAAGTTCGATCAGCTTGAAAAAGACAATGAGATAAACATTTGGAACACATCCAGCAAATATATATCATATAGAACGTCCATTTTAACAGGTTTATTCACAGAACTCAAACCACCAGAAGGGAGGTTGGGGGAGAGGGGCTGTTTTCATTATTTAATAGCATCAACAAGAGTCCCAACTCTTAGTTAAATAAAACATGGCATCTCCACACAACAGAGGATCATGTAGCTATAAAAAGGTTGAAAGAAAATCTCTGTATTATATACTGACAAGGACTATCTCCAGGATTTAGTGCTAATGGTAAGAAAGTGAGATACAGAACAGTAGTCTATTTTTTGTCTAAGAAAAAGGAGGATATTAACATGTATAAATATATATATATTCCTGGGTGGGGCTAATGGTTGGCTGCTCAGCTGCTAACCGAAAGGTTGGAAGTTTGAGTCTACCCAGAGGTACCTCAAGAGAAAGACCTGGTGATCTACTTCCCAAAAAATCAGTCATTAAAAACCGTATGGGAGCACAGTTCTACTCTAATACAGATGAAGTTGTCAGAATGGACTCAACAACAACTGGTTTGGTATGTACGTGTGTATACATACATAATTTATTCGTGTTGTTGTTAGTTGCCGTTGAGTTGATCCTGATTCATGGCAACCCCCTGTGTGCAGAGTACAACTGAGCTTCATAGGATTTTCAAGGCTGGGACATTGGCCTGACTCCCAAGGTACCTCTGTGTGGATCCAGACCAAACTTATGGTTTGTAGTCAAATGCTTAAATTTATTACTAGTAAGTAGGCTTGCTTGCACTACCCAGGGACTCCATACAAGCATGGAGCGAGAAATATGCTTACATTTACAACAACAACAAAAAGACAAACTAATGAAATTTATCATTCTTATAGACAGACTGGGAATACAAGGATGAAACACCTCTGTGAAAGTATCTTGTGATATAGTTTTTACTTTGTAATCATGTATACTATTTTATATAAATGAAAGCAATGAAACAAAAATTGACAAAAGTAGTTCTTAAAATTTGGAAATGGTAACAAATGAAGCTAACTGTCTATCAAGTTGATAGCATAACCATACAGGGAAGAAAATGGTTTTAAAGTGACTTTAAAACTAGTATTTCGATTGTATATTCCCAGCAGGACATAATCTAAAGACAAAAACGACCTAAAGCAGTAAATTGAGTTTAGCAGTTTTATTGTTAGTAGTAATATCTGTGTGATTATTTGGGGATGATTATTATAGAATAAGGAAAATAAGGAATTATGTTAATGTTGTTAGGAACCAAGATTCTAAGTATAAGAGGAGACATGATTATAAAAATCTAAGAAGTTAAGTAAAAAAAAAGGTAATCTTCAATTTAAATGGGAAGTACCAATATAAATTTAATTTTTTTTCCCCTTAAAAACTATACTTCCCAGCTGAAAAAGCCTAGAAGCAATGAAAACCAATGAATGGGCACCATGACACTGTGGTGATTCTAAATACCACAAAAGGAATTAAGTCTCCTTGGAGAAGTGGCTAATTCCAGGTCTGGGACAGGAAATGTGCAAGACAAGCCTGAAGTGGAGTCATGTCAAAAGAACACAGGAGCCAATTTGAAAGCATTCCCACTAGCCTAAGATAGGACAATTGACCACCCAAAATAATAAATGACTACATTGTACTAAAGCTGAATTATGTAAAACTGATCACATATGTTTAAACAAATGAGAACTATGTAATACTAAAAAATTAAAAAATAACAAAGTAACAAAATAGTTAAGGGAAACTTTTTTCTTACAGAATTTCAGCTAATAAATGTTGAAGGAGTAACAAAATTTAAAAATTCCCATTTGTAACCCTTAAAGAAAGTCAGGCTGACAACACCTGAATCTACTAGTTGATTTTATCATCACTTAAAAGTGGGACAAGCAGGACTTACGTGCTTCATGATGTGATACAACAGGAAATACATAGCTCCTCCTAGGAAGTATTGTTGACAAAAGAATTGAATCTAACATAATCAAACCTCTAGGTCTAATTTCCAGTTAATAGGAACTGACTGGCTCAATCGTGGTTTGATTTACCTCAATTATGTAATTAGCCAAATCCAGAAGGTAGGACATTCCACAAGACAAATAACCCAGTTTTACTGAGATATTTGCAAAACTCAAAGTGCAGCTCTTGTCTGAATCATACTTAAAGAGAGCAAAAATTTGAATATGGACTCGGTACTTAAGAATATTAAGTAATATTAAGTAATTATTGTTTTCAAAATCTCAGTGATATGCATGTCTGTGAGTTTCGTTAAAATTCTCAACCAAAAACAAACCCGTCAAAAAAAGTTGGGGAGAGATACATTCGCCTTTTGTTGATGATTGTTGAAGCTGGGTGATGGGTCCATTGTACCACTCTTTCTACTTTAGTGTATGTTTGAAATTTCCCCTAATAAAAAGTTTCTTAAAAAGCATACCCAAATAAATATTGTGTGTAACTCTATCTACAAAAGCAGTGGAGCATACCCAAAATGAAAATATCATATTTGGTCTTACACTCTGTTCTTTTATTTTCCTGCAGGGTTAAAGTACAAATATCAGAATGTTTAGAAAATCCAATTAACTAAAAAGCTATTTACCAGAAAAAATAAAGAGACAAATCATCCCGTTTTTTACACAGTTTTTGGTACAACAAACATTAACTACAATACCTTTATATAATAATTTTTCTCAGAACCTATTGGTAAAGCTTTAGATCAAAAATTTTTGAAGAGAAGTTTTAATCTGGCAGACAGAGAAACAAAGGATAAAACATTCAAGGTTAAAATATTCAGTGGCTATATGCATCCAATTAGAGTTGTTTTTAGAAATCATTTAGTAAAATAAAAGGAAACGTATTAACAGGATCATTGCCCATGATCTAGTACTTCAGACCTCAAAGCACAGGAAGTACGTAAAATGAACTTACGGCAGTTTCTCTCATCTGAAGTGTCATTATCGTGGCAGTTGTTTATACCATTGCAGACATACTCAAGCGATATGCACCTTCCATTATTGCAAGCAAATTCTGTGCTGGTGTTACAGGGCCTGAACAGACAGCCTGCTTCATCACTGTTGTCACCACAGTCATTGTAGTGGTCACAGCGGAAACGGTACTGGACACACCGCCCATTGGCACAGGTGAAGGCTGTCCATGGGCAGGTGTGAAAAGCTAAGAAACATTGAAGAAAGCCTCTGATTAAACCATCATCCTAATTTCTAAAAAGATACAATCAAATCAAATGGAGTTTACCTTTCAAGGCAAAACAGCTACAAAACGGACTGCATGCAAAGTGAGATAATGCTTCAAATTAGTCACATTAATTTTTTAAATAAGTCATTTATAATTTAATATGTTGCATACTTTTTGTAAGCTAATGAAGTATTTAAGCAAATGTCAACCTCATTGCATTCCTCTATAATCTCAATTTAAAAGTTTATGTCAAATATCATCCTTGAGTACTGTGCTCTTTTTAAAAAATTAACTATATGAGACCAAATGATCAACAGCTATTCTAAAGCATGGTTGAGGAGGTTGGCGGGGGGGCAGTGAGACAAAGTTAATGGGAATGAACAACTAGAATGGAAACAATGAGAAGAATGTAACCAACAATATGTGTAGAAATTGTTGAACGGGAACCTGTCTTGCTGTGTATACCAAAAATACAAGTTTATCTCAATCACAGGAAAGAATGCAAATAGAGTTTATTTGGGGAAAATAAAAACTCCCAAGCCCTACATGGTCTGCTAAAAAAGGTAACTCACCTCTGAACTTCCTGGGAAAGTCTACTGTGTTAAACTGAGGATTGGGAGTGATGAAATTATTTGGTTAATGGCCCTTCTGCTGTCACCTATTGGAACCCTTAGTCCTATGCTGAGTCATGCTCAGCATGCACCAAGCACCATACTGTTTTTTTATATGTTGTTTCTCCTACTCTCATAAGAACCCTCACAATTTTCTCTTATTCCTCACAACTCACCACAGACACTTTCCAGCTCATCACTGCCATCACCACACTCAGGGTCATTGTCACATTTCCACTCCTCCGGGATGCAGCGCCCATTGAGGCAGGTGAACTCGTTCCCACTACACCGGGTACCATTGTCCACAATGCAGTGCTTATTGTTGTTGGCCAGATACCAACGGCCCTCAGCTGGACACTGGCACTCAGCACCATTTGGACCTGAAGAAACGCAGGCCCAGAAGAGTCAAAAGATTTGTGTGGCAACCATTCTTATTTTCTCCTCCTCAATAGCACTCCCAACAGCCCCTACATTAAATGCTCTACAAGATAAGCTGCAGAAACTCTACCCATCATTTCCCCTTCAAGAACAACCACACAATTTCTAATAAACGTGGATAAATTACCCTAATCTTTCAACAATCACCTTTCATCTACATCAAAACAAGAGCAATGATTCTCCCTTCTCAGCAAAATTTGCAATGAGTATCAAAAGGAATATTTTCCTATGAGTTTATGCATAATTTAACCCCTAAAAATATCACTAGAAATGTTAAAATCTATAAATCAGATCTCCTAAGTGGAAGAACTAAAGGTAAGTCATGAGCTGCAGCACCCCAGAGCCATCATCTTGCTTTCACTTCTGTCAAAGTTGAATTTAAAATGTCCACTTAAGGAAGAAGGAGACCCAGGAATCAGACAAGGAATTGTCTAATTGTCTCCATGAACTACTGCCTCCCCTTCACTGAGACCAGAAGAACTGGATGGTACCTGGCTACCATTACTGAATGTTTTGATCAAGGATACAACAGGTGGATTCTGATTCAAAGAGGGGTGAGGGGGAGGGGATGTAGAACAGATTCTTATGGAATCCAGATTTCCTGGACTCATTGAGACTGGAGAATGACACAAGGTGAAGAACATAACCAATACCACGGAAGTGTATATGTAGAAACTGTTGAATGGGTGTATATTTTTCTATGTATATTTTCACCAAAAAGAGGATTCCATGTAAGATAGAAAAGAATCCTGCCAAGATTATCCTCTCAAAATACAAAGCCAAAATCTATTATACAGATTATCCTGAAATCAGGGCCAAATATTCCTTCAGTCTTCCCTATCAGTTATCAACATTATTACTCTTCACGTGAAATGACTCACCGGGTGCACAGATGTGGCTGCAGCCCCCATTAAACTGACTGCAAGGACTGCCACATTGACGTTGCTCGCTCTTTCCAGAAATGAGAATACCCATGGGAGGAGTGGGTAAATTGGTGATCATTACAATCTGACCTGACCCATCATATTTGTTAGCTCGGTAAACTGACTTTGTGTACCAGTCAGTCCAGTAAATATACTGGCCGTAGACAGTCATGGAAAAAGGATGTAAGGTTGTGCTGACAACGACCTCACGGTCCATGCCTGTTAGAGAGCTGCGTTCAATTCGCTGCCTAAAATGAAGTAAAAAAAATGCCGAAATTTAGAAAGTGTAAGTTTCCCAAGTAGCAGCCCAATGGCTAGACCCAATCATTGCTTTACATAAGCCCCCAACATACTGCAGTAAAAATGCTTCTTCTGGTGATAAGAGGTATTTACTTATCAAACCATGGCTTATATAAATCACTGACTTCCAAATATTAATATAACCTACAAGTAATCCTACAGAAGGAACCGGGCTGACATTAGAAACAAGAAAATTATTAAATAATTCATATAAAGCATAAAACTCAGTGCTTAGCACATAGTATACAATCAATAAAATGTCAGTTACCTTTTCCTCCCACTCCCTCAATTACTGTTTTGATTTCACATTTACTGAATACCTGAATACACAAAACATCACTGCTTCATTTCAAATGAGAAAATGAAGACCAGATACAGTGCTCAGTGTTACAAGACCAAAATAAGGAACGTGAGCAAGAGAAGGTTCCTGACATGCAGGCACCAACTATAATAAACTATTCCATTAGGGTGATTAGAATCTGAGCAATATAGGGGGTTCTTGGAGAACTTACATATAAAATTATATGTACGTAGCTTGACAGAGAAGAAAGGTTCTATTTGAGAAGTTGACCAAAAGGCAAAACTAAAGAAAAGCATTTTTAAAGGACACTGAATGATAAGCCAGTCTGCATTCATGTTTTTTATAGCAGTTGCATGGGCCTGTAGATTATAAATTGAGTAATTTAATTATATTTGTAATTAAACTTGAAATTAATTCATCTAGTAAAGCCTCTTTAGATGTCTTCCAATTAATAACTATTCAATCTCATGACACAGATAAATTTTCACAGCTATGTTCACCAAGCTAGAATATAATATAGTTCCTAAAACTTTGATTCTACATTTTAGCCATTCTATTTGGCATATTATATTTGCATCACACTACACAAAGCCTTCTTTGGAAGCAGGGGGAAGAACTCTTCTTTATCAACACCATATGTGTAACACATACAGGCTGGCATCTGCCCAGTAGAGAAGCTCCTCCTCATAGTCTAGAGTGAGCCCATTGGGCCAGACCAAGCTGCTGTTCACAATGGATACCCGGAAGTTTCCTCCCAGTGTGGCTCTCTCAATTTTGGCATTAGTACTCCAGTCAGTCCAGTACATGTACCTAGTCATCCAAAAGGAGTCATAATTAATTCACTGCAATAAACCCCATTTTAAAAACAAAACAAAACAAAATGGCAGCGTCCTTTAATTGCAAATTGCCTTTTATATGGCAGAAGAAACCCTACTCCGTTCCCAACAATAACTTGCCCAACCAGGATTTACTGAGTCAGTGCACTGATTCTCTAGAATGCTGTCAACCTCTCTAGCATCAAAGGGAGATGTGCACTGCATCCTCTTGCCCGGGGGAAATAACTCAATGCTCTTTCATTCTTGAATCTGTAGCCACAGTGTTATAAGCTCATAAAACGTTGGCAATCTATGGGTATAAAATAATTTCAGGCTCCATCCTCCCAAAAATATACAAAGACAGGAATATGATTAATAAGATTATGGCATACCCTCGGCAAGGATCTAACACAACTGCTCTTGGTCTTAAAACACGAGCTATCACAGTGCGATTAGAACCATCAACGGCCATGGAGTTAATTGTCTGGTTGACGTAGTCACTGTAATAAATTCTGTTATTGATCCAGTCAAAGGCAATGCCCTCAGCAGACCCGATATCTGGACACACAAACACACACACAAAGGCATCAGAGTCTCAATATGCATTTTAGAACCACTCAGCTCATCAGCTGCAACTAGAGAGCACTTACCTGAAGCAATGACTGTTGAAGAACTATTCCCTGAGTACAGGTTAACATAGGAAATCCGGCCACGTCCAGATTCTGAAGTTTGTGTGAAGTAGATTCTATTATTTATGCTGTCATAGTCCAGGGCCACAGCAATTCTTTCCACATTTATTGCACGGAAAGGTGGGCTGTGGTTTTCAGGGTCCAACTGCAAGCTTCTTAATGAATTTTCCAAGGCAAAGATGAGAACATTTTCGGTTGAAAGGGCACAGCTCTTGCCATTACTTTCCACAGTCCCAAAGGCACAGCCACATTTTGGAGTCTGCAATCCAGGCAGAGCAAAGCAGAGATGGGAGCACCCACCATTACTTTCCATGCAAGGGTTGTTATTGACCTCTGCTGGTGACCGGGGCTGGACCTGCTGGTCAAATATGGTCACATCTCTTAGCCAATCGAGATTGTCCCTTATCACTGTTGGTGGTTCTGTGTTCCCTGGTTCTTTGCTAGCCTGGAGGATTTTTTTCAAATTCCTATCTACCCATATGATAGAATTTCCAAAAACAGTGATACCATAAGGAGTTGGGTAACGACCACCAACACGAATCACTTCAGATTCACCACTAATAATATGGGTCCTTGTGATCATATCTAAAGAATCATCAACCCAATAAATATAGCTATTGTAATGGTCCACTGCCAAGCCCCGAGGTGTGACAATGCCTTCTGATACAAGCACAGTTCGATTGGTACAGTCAAGAAAGGCACGTTCAATCTTTGGCCTCTGCCCGTAGTCGGCCCAGAAAAGATATCTGTTCTTGGGATCTACAACAATGTCCCTGGGCATATCCACTGTGGCTTTAAGGAGAATACGGCGGTAGGTAGTATTGATTCTCAGAACTTCTATCAGTGTTTCAGACACAAAAGCATTGGTAAAATAAAGATTTCCTGCAGGAAAATAAAGAGCATGACGATGAATGAATAGCTTTTCAAATTCAGAACAGGCTATTTAAGAGATTTGCATAAATTTATGTTGTCTTTTCCAAGATTATAAATAAATGTCTCAGTTTTTACTTTAATTGCAATAAATATTTACTTACAGAAGTTAAAGAGATAGCTTCTTCAAATTTAGAGTGAAGGTGCCTATCATCAGCTTCTTAAGCAGATAAGAACTCATAGCAAATGCCATGGCCCACTTTCTGCTGAAAGTTGTATTTTCCAGAATGTCCTTCCTCTTCCTCTTGAAAAACTGAATATTTAACCTCTACATCTAGGTATCTATTATGACTGTATAACTTCTACTCCAGCATGATGAAAGAAACAAAGAGGGACAGCCAGCAGCATTTCAGGCTGCTACCAATGTCAAAATGCTCTTAATGCTTAGCATTAACAATGCTTTTCATAGTCTTTCTAATTACTGTCCGTGTTTTTATTCCATGGACCTTCTAAACCAGCAAAAGAAAACTCCATTCCCATTGGACATTACAACACAATGTAAATGCTAGAAAGAAAGCCCATGGTGCGCAGATAGTATTTTGAATAGAGGGTGATCCCAAACTGATTCCATGTAGTTCAAAGTCTATTGTTGAACTACCGATAGTTTACCAAGGTACATCAATTTGGAGGCCTACAATTAATACTGTTCCTTTATCTGACTCAAAATTTCTGTAGAAAAATCAGATACAGAATATGATACTGATCTATTCTTTTTTCATTACCTATGTCTAATGATAAACACACGCACATACACACACATTTGTTCATCCCCAATCCTTTAATCTAGGGCTTGGCAAACTTTCTGTAAATGGCCAGTTAGTAAATACTTCATGTTTTAAAAGTTATATGGTTTCTATCACAAGTACTAAACTCTGCCATTGTAACACTAAAGCAGCCATAGACAATAACATAAACAAATGGGCACGGCAGTGAACTTGATTTGAACCGCAGCCAGTAGACTGCCGACCCCTGCTTTATCTATACCCTCAGAAATAAATGTAGCGAATTTGTGATCAGAAATGGGATTTAGGAAGCCAATTAAAGCCTTATCTAACTGCACTACCATACTTACTATTTGCAGCAAACTATTATAGTACCTATATTTTCATAATACATGTTAATGTTTCTAAGTGATGCAAACTTACCAAGCTTGATAACACACAATGATACCTATTTCATACAGAAGGGGATTATATTGTTTCCAAGTGTATCATTAAAAATGAGTGGTAATTGAAAATTAACTGCAGGATTCAATACAACTAAATTAATACAACATCGTGTTAGACATTTCATTATAACTACTAAGACAAAGTACCTAATGATTAAAAAGATTTTTATATGTTAACAAGGAGAAACAGTTGCTTTAAGGTAAATGGGCATTGTTTTATGGTTTATATTATATTTTAATATGCCTTTCTTTGAAATATTTAGACATTTCTGATTCAGAAATTAGGTGCATTTTTCCCTGCAGTTCTAATTATGGTAATAATAAATCGGTTATGAATCTGTCAACTGAAACACCTTATTATTAATTTAATATATATGTAGCTTAGTATAAATCCACAATTCAATTTATCTTAAATGACTTAAATAATTGCCTAGAAAAACAGATCTGTAGCAAATGTAACTAGGATGAACTATCTAGTTTATGTATAAAATAAGACGGTGAGACAGAGCCCCACAGTGTTGCATTAAAAATTCTGTTTCCTTTGCTGGCACGCCTCCCCTCAGCTCTGCATTTGAATTCTGCTTTTGCTTGGAGGTAATATGTAAACCCCACTGCAACTGCGTAGTATGATTAAGAATGTTGCTGACATAACTTGTATTAACTCCCTACTTGTCAGCTTGCCCTTGGGGAGCAGTCTCCGCAGCAGCAGCTCCGACTGACTCTTTTTCCTTGTACAGTGACATAAAGGGGTGACTTTCTTGTTCTCCCACCTCAGTCTCATTTATTGGCCAATACAAGTCATGCTGAGCAAGAACCTGGGGTTTCCACCTGGTAACAGGGATGCAAATACAAAAAAGGCTTTTCACTAAAATCACTGTACAGCTTACCTACCTGCTACCCAATCCAATGCAATACCCCGGACACCATTTTGTCCTATCCCATTTGTAACAATATTTGTAAAATGAGACCCATCTGGTTTGACTCTACGGATTGCATTCTGAGATGCCACAGAGCTGTTGAAATCACACCAATAAATAAAGCCAGAAGACACATCAACATCCACATGGAGTGCATTTCGTCCTGGAACATTGAAGAAAAGATCATTAAACAACGCTGTAGCTGGAACTACAATTTCTAAATGTCTAACCTTTCTTCTCTCAAACCCTCATTCCCAATCTCTGCTCTGACCATTGACAAAACAAAACGATTTGTTTCCTAGTTGCAATGAGTACACCTACCACTCAGATCTTGGTTTCCAAACACTATTTACCACAATAAGGAATCTGAGCTCCTGGGAAGAAATGGCTGATTACATACAGGCTTGGGGCAGGTGGCCATTGAAGAGGCTTTCCCTGGCCAAAGTGGATCAATTGGAGCATCAAAAGAGCAATCATGGTAACTGATCATAACACACTGAATTAACAAGATAAAAACTTGAGTGATATTAAAAAGAGTATAAAAGAGATCTCTCTTTATAGAAGAATGTTATCTAATAAACAGAGAAGGAATGATAGCAATAGAAAATTGCCATTTTCCAACAGCCAATTAAATAAGCATTTCAGACAAGGATCATCAATGGCTACTACAACTGAGGGAAAGGTGCTTTTTAAAAGGCCATAAAAATGTGTGTATGCATATGTATTATACACACATATAGACAGAGAGATTGAGAGCTCAAATGTGACATTTTAACAATTGTTGAATCTAGTTGGAAGAGGGTAAGAATGTTCACTTACCTTTCTTACAACTTTTCTGTACAAGTTACAAGGTGGTAACTTAAAAATCATTTGAGATACGGAAAAACAAATAGGAGTGATGCACATGTGACCATGGTAATTAAGCAGGAGTGCGAGTGGTACCAGAAGCACTTTGACTCATCTCACCGTACAGACTTCCCACCCTCATTGTCCCCTCTTCCTTTTCTCTTTCCTTTTTACCCTCTATTTCTATCTTTAGCCTATGGCACACCCTTTGTGATGCTAGTAAACACTTAGCTCCTCTTGGGCTACGTAGGCCTACAAACCTCTTGGTTCATCTAGAGGGCAAGTTATTTCATACATTCACAGTATGTAAGAATAAAATGCTGGAAAAATATGGTTACTAAGGAGAGGCTAATACTCTGAACTCATTTACTTCAATTCACTATGTATATATCAATAAGTCAGATTGGGAACTATTACTAACCCAACTAGTAATATGCCTTCCATCCTAAATCTCTACTAAGTCAGAAATAAGGCACAATTCTTCAGAACTCTGAAATGCTTCTTGCAAACGCATGCTACATTCTGTACTGCCTTAGGCCTGTGGTTCTCAGTGGTCCAGCATGCTCTTTATACAAAGTCTTTAGCCCCACCTCAGACTACAGAATCAGAACTCTGGGGCTAGAGCCCTTATCTGTTTTATCAAGCCCTCCAGGTGTTCTCAAACACTACTCTAGATTTGAGAACCACTCTGCATCAAACAATGGACAAATGCTTTCATGGCATCAACAGTCTCGATCTGGCACCAGATGGAGCGAAATCTTTCTTATATTGGAATTGACGTACCTCGGCCTGCCACTGGAACCATGGCCTGTGAGTGATCTGACAATTCCAAGCTAAAGCCTTTGATTGCAGACAGCATTGAAACAACAATGAAAGAGCTATACTGAGAACAGGTCCGATTATCAAGATTGAGTTTAAATCCAGTGGCACAGGCGCAGGAGAACAGCCCTCCTGGTACAGGCAGGCAAATCTGCTGACAGGCATTCATGTTGTTGCTACAGCCATTTGAGGAATCAGCAGAATCTAAACAAAATCAAAATCAGTTTTTAACTTTTGGCCTTACCTAATTGCCGTTCAAAAAAAAGAAAAATTAATAATAACAAACATATAGTATCTGAGTTAGTAACCTACAAACAATATTGGAGAGACTAGAGCTTATATAACTAATACCTGAAAGTATTAAAACAGTACCACAACTATTGCATAATAGAGAATGGGACAGCGACTGTTTTTCTCCTGCATGTAATAAAATTAAAAATAAAAAGTGACAAGCCTAGGCTATTTGATCATCTTTGGTTACAGATTGTCAATACTATAAAAAATAACCTCTACATCATAACACTAATTTAAAAGGGCAAATAAAAAGTGAAAAAAATTTTTAAAAAATTCAAATAAGCAATATCTAAGAATATCCCTTTTATGATTAAAAATTCTATCCTCTTAATACTTACCCAGCAGTCATCCAACAAATATTTACTGAGTACCTTCTAGGTGCCAGGTAATATTCCAGGCACTGGGTATACAGTAGTAAACAAGATAAAGTGCCTGCCCTTATGAAGCTTACATTCTAACAAATAGATAATATCTCAGAGAGTGCAAAGTAATGAGCTAACAAGTGATTTTTAGGAGATGGTTATCATCACTTTTAAATGGTATTTCACGTAATTTCGATTGTTTGCATATATATGTGCATTGGTCTGTTTGTATGTGGGCATGTGTGTTTACATATATAAGTATGTGGGCATGTGAATGTACATTGTACATCCACACATGTGTATGTTTCAGTGACAGATACTTACCATGCCTGTGATAAACTCGAAGGCACCTCAGATTTGGAACATTGTCTCTCAAGACTACTTTGTTGGCCCCAGTTGCCTTGTCAACTCGTTCAATGACCTCATAGTCTTTATCAGAATAATAAAGGAAGGAATCATAGACAGCAATTCCCCAAGGATGGGAAAGGTGATATACCAGGATCATTCGATTTGTACCGTCCACATTTCCTCTTTCAATCTAAAACAGCAGAGTTTTCATTAGTTTTACTGAATTGTAGTGCAATGAGAGAGCGATTTTAAATTAATACATCACATTTATATAGCACTCTATCCATTTTCTGATTTGATGGTCACAACTACACTGGGCAGAGGTCAGGAACTGACAAGGAAGATGGGGCTCAAATCATTCAGTTAACTTTCTACCTACCTGCCTACTCCCTATGTATAATTTTCTAATCAATTAACACTTTTAATGTCTAACCATGGGCCTTTACAGAGGAGCTGATTAACCCTAGGTTTAACATCTCCACCAATGACTTCTGTATGGGAATAGGAAATGTGCTCCATACAATCACAAAAGATAGCAAGACTGAATGGGGGCAAAAGGTAGTGGTGTCATATTACCTATTTTTATGCAAATGATGTGCAACTTCTGCATTTGCTTGCCAGCCTCACCCCCTCGAGGAATTTTTGTAAGGGTGCTATGCTAATTTTTTTTTTTTTTTTTTTGCTGACTAAGATTAGCTGACTAAGCTCAGCTGAAGAGTTAAACCCTAGACCATGGTTCTAAACTGAGGGTGATCAATCTTCTTTGTTATGGTTCAATAATGAGGGCCTAGTCAAGGCTGGAGAGGGGCTCAGATGGTGCAGCTAGGAGATAAAGGCTGCACCTGAAAGAAGAGGCTATGGACAAATTGCCAGCATTTTGTAATGATTAAATGAGGAGAGTGAAGAAGTAACTATTTAGTAAACTATTTGGTAAACTATTTAGTAAGTACTTTCTACTTCTTATTACAGAATATAATGAATTAATGAATATAACGAACTCAACCTTGGAGTTTAAAATTACAAGGGAGTTTTCACAAGTGTGTCAAGCATATAAGGACATTAGAGAAGAGTGTAGTTATGAGGGGACACTGAGCTCTTAGTCTCTACCCTACTGGAAAGCCGAGAACTTTGAAAGAAAAGCTCTAAAAGGACAAGTTAAAGAAATGAGAAATAAAACTATTTTGTCTGAAGGAAAACAAAGGCTGAGGAAAAAAGAGAGTTTAGATTTGCTCTGGAGAAAAAGTTATTGAGAGAAAGGGCAATAAAACACTGACACAAGTTTCCAAGTCAGAGTGCTCAATTACAAAAGCTCAGCAGTGAAGACCAGAAGAAAACGTGATCATACCACTCCCGTGCTGGTGACTGCCCAGTAGAGTTTCTGCTCTTTGATGTCAAGAGTGATGAACTCCAGGTGGTCAAGGTTCCCAGTGAAAAGAATTTTTGAAAATGTGCCATCCATGTTAGCACTTGCAATCTTGGCAGGAACCCCACTGTCAGTTCCTTGGTCTGTCCAGTACAGTTTCCTACAACCATGAAACACACCAGCATTTAATGAAACAGAAGGCGGACTGGGGTGAAGCATCTATAATTTAAATATGTAAATGAAAAAATGTATGTTTCTTGTCCTCAAATGCTCACAATTCAATGGATGAAGTCTTGTTGCATACAATGTGGAGGGGTACTTCCTAGTCATTATTGGGGTAGAAGCCATTTACAATGGTGTCAAAATCAGGAGGTTAGGGTCTTCCATTGGTGGTTGAAACTTGGTCAGATAGGTTGGAAGCTTAGAACAAAGATCACTTTTCAATGACCAATCCCTCTTCAAAGAATCACATACTACCTAGTACACTGGGGTGGCCAAAGCTAATATACCTCCCTCCTGACCTGCTGGCTCCTTACTACTCAGAAGAATTAAGTCCAACTCCTTAGCATGACATTAGAAGTCCTCCCCATTAGAAGTCTTCCATCTGGTTTAACACTCTCCACAATCACACTAAATACTGCCATGCTTCAGTGCCTTTAGAAGAGCCCTGGTGGTGCAGTGGTTAAAGCACTCAGCTGCTAACTGAAAGGTTGACAGTTCGAACCCACCAGCACTCTGTGGGAGAAAGATGTATCAGCCTGCTTCTGTAAAGATTTACAGCCTTGGAAACCCTATAGGGCAGTTCTAGTCTGTCCTATAGGGTTGCTATAAGTCAGAACTAACTAGCAGTGGGTTTGGTTTCCGGCCTATGCCTTTGCTGTTCCCTTGACCTCAGATACGACTCTCTAGTTGCAACCCATTTTCCACCTACTGGAAACCTTCTCATGCTTCAAGGTCTATTTCAAATGCGATCTACCCCCTACATTCAAAAAATTAAAATTCCTGAAATTTTGGCTTGTTTGGAATTAATTTTAAATCCAGTGTTATTAATTTAAAGAACACAGAATAAAACAAATTATATCATTTACATTAATTATAACTCAGAGCTATTTCTCTTTCTCAACATATGTTGTCATATGAAGTCAGAAAATGCCCTAAGTTGGAAATATTGCATTGTATCAGACCATGACATTAACAAGAACGGTGCTGTAGAGAAGATATGTAAACCCTCACCCACGAGCAGGATCAATAGTTATGGCGATTGGAAGACCAACTCCAGTAGCTGTCCCATCATTGGTAATCAGTGTTTTCCTGTATCTCTGATCTCCCCTGAGAGTCAAAACCTATAGCATAAAATCACTTATTAGAATTAAAAACAAAGAAAGTTCAGATGAAGGAGAGCCTACATACATAACAAATTCCAAAGCATGGTTAAAGATGAATGTATTTCAGGGCTATGAGGAAATCCACTCAACAGAAAATGAAAGTAGGAACAGCAAAATTATCTCCCCAATTCCTATTTTCAATTCACCTAAAATTTCAGGAGATGAAATTGATTTAAATGGGTAAAACATACAGAACTACTGTTTGGAAAAACTGCAAACATGTCCTAAGAAAAACTTAAGCTAAGAGAAAACCCTGGAAGACAAATGCGAACTCCACAGCAATCCCATACCCCGTGACCGTGTCATGGCAATTTAAGTGGTATGTTACTGCAAACACAGTTGGTCAAAATCATGTGAATTCTGTTCCAAGTCAATGGCCTGAGTTAAAACACTTAAGTTCAAATCCCTGCCCTGTCAGTTCCTAACTCTATGATCTGAGGAAAGGTAATGCTACCTCCCATACAGCATGCACAGGACTGTGACATAATACAGTAAAACCTGCAAAAGCTGGAAACTGTGTAAAGACAGAAACCTGTCAGAGAAGGAAAACTCAAATATTTTCCACTAATAGAGAACAATAGAAAAGTATTAAGACTGTACTCCGTCAAAGGCAGAAAACGTGCAAGAACAGGAAGAACAAGACAGTCCCATTGAGTTGCGGGTCTCACATGTTTTTTTATTTTTTTTATTGAAGCAGGACAGAGTGGGCAGGCACAATAATTCTGTGAGGTAGATACCAGTATCAGGCCCATATTACAGATGAAGGAAAAAAAGAGGTTTAGTGTCTTTCCCAATGTTATATATTTTTAATTATTATTATTGCTATATTATTCCTTTAGAGTAATCACAACAGTAAGCCCTGAAACATGCCATAGAAATATGGACAGAAATAGAAACTGTATTCCTTCATCAATTTCTTACGGGAATGAGGAATACTGTTCTCCTTCATCTCAGACAGTCTGAGAGGAGAGGAAAAAGAGTAAGGAGTTAGAAAATGTACCTTAAGCTTTTTCTCTAAAATTCTTTTTCAGTGCAGATATATATTTATGTGTGTATTTGTATTTCTGCCCACCCCACCCCCCTCCTTTTCTTCCTCTCTCTTCTGTATTTTTCCCCTCCTACTTGGACTAAAACAATTTTTCCTTTTCAGTTTGCCTCTCTCTGCTACAATTTCTCCCTTTTTCCTAGGACTAAGTGCTCTTTGATTCAAGGAAAGTTCCTTTCCTTGTTTTCTGGAATACATCAAGCTCTCTCTCACTCAGCCATACTTCACTTTGCCACTAAATAATTTCTTTTAGTGAATGGGCACACAGCTACCCCTAGTGGAAAACAATTTCTTCAATGCTTCTCTTATTTTCAATTTGAAATTAAATATGAATTACTCTTATGCTGAACAGTCTATTGTAGAGATAAGTGAACCCTCTTCCTGCTTTCTAAGTAATCTAACATTTACCTGAAACAGTCACTTACAATTTATATCAAAACTACTTAGAAAATGACTAAAGCAGAAACCAGTGAAAACACTAAAAGGGCAGTTTACCCTTGGATCATTACTCTCATAGATCTTTTCCGGATATTCTAAATATACTGATGATTTAAGGGAAACAGGGCTCTGAAATTCATAGGGTACCTTAGCATTATGACCTACTTTTTACTTACTGAGCTGTTAACCCCATTTTATAGACAAGGAAGCAGAGGATCAGAGAATTTAAGTAATTTGTCCAAGGTCAAACAGCTTGTGAGTGGAAGAAATACAGTGCTGTCCCTTGTCACAAATTTCATTTTCATATCTGAGGGTCTCTCAGGCCCTGCTAATCGTCCCTCTCACAAAACCCTCCCTTTTCTTTATGAATTTTCATTTCCAAAATTATGAATAATAATCCCTTACATCATATTAACCTTGTCCCAGAAGGGAGCAAACCAATACTAGTCAAGTTACCTCTGAATTACTTTATGTGATTTCATACCTACTCCTCATCTAGAATTTCTTCTGGAAATTAAAGTAGCAAGAGCTCTTATCTCAAAGAGGATAGTATCAAAGGAATTAGAATCAAGTTTCTACTTTCTGTTTCACTGTATTGGAGCCATGGAAAGATTTGCATCTAAGAACATAGGTAACCATGAATTTGGTTTAGAACTGAAACAGCATTGAAGATTAGATGAGGAAAAATAGCAAATATTTCCCTCCTACCATAATCTTCACACTGAATTCTTCACAAAATATGTTTGTAAATCATCTAAAATCCTTTTTTAGGAACAAGAGGAAACAAAATAGGACAGAGGACCCATTAAAGTGGTTTTTACCTTAGTTTCAGAGACTTTGATAGTCCATACTAACATTGCTTCCCCTTCCCATATGAAAGCATTTCATGAGTATAGATTTTACATGAATCAGAAACCAGTGTTTGTGTAAGTAATATTATGGAATCATTACCTCAATTGACTGAGTTGCAGGGTTGGTATAATAAAGGTTTCTTGATATCCAATCCAAGGCCAAGCTTACAGGAGATCCCACAATAGATGCAGGGACAAACACCATCCTGTTGGTGCCATCTGTCTTCACTCTGTGAATTTCACCCTTGAAAGAAAGACGGCAGAAGGTGAGCCCTTCCAAGGCCACAGCTTCTGAATGAAAACACTTTGTTCATTGCAGCTACTACTAGATGTCACTTGAAAAAGGCAGCAAATTTTCAGTTCCATCAGATAGGCTCACTATGTATAACACTAATGCTGCCAGTGTGTGTCACAGGAATACACAAGGCTTACCATTCGGGCTACCTCTGAATAATTATTACAGGCATAAGGAGTGAGGAGGCCAAGGGTATATCTTAGGTAGAGGTGACAACTGTCAAACACACAAATATTTTTCATTTCTTTCTCATTAGTATTCTCCTTGCCCTGTCCTCCCAGGTTATGAAAAGGGGCCCAAAGGGAATGGAGGAGTACACGTTTTTATCTTCGAGGCAAAGATTCTGGGTGAAGGCCCCAGTAGCCACATCAAATGCTTTACCTAGAATTGAGCTATCTTTTTCTATGCTAGTCTTAATATCTTCTACTAGCTTATAAACTCCTGAAGAGCAAGCTTTCTGGCTTCCACTTCTTAGCATGTATTCTGCAACTGAAGCAGCCAGTTCAATGCAGGGAAAATAGGAGGCACTCAATAAATATCTACTGAATGAATAATAATACCCAATGGCTTAAATTTGTTTATTATCCTAAAGTTAAAGAGGTTCCTGATCTTTGTCCCAGGCCAAACTCACATTTACATTTCAGTGAATCAAAAAACTTAATTTCTGGACCATTTCCCTTTTATTAAAGTTTTCCTGTAATAAGACATCAGTGCCAGCAGGCTCTTTGAGAACAACATATGCACTTTGAATGGTTTTTAAAACTTACTGGATGCTCAACCCAATAGATGAATTGCTCTGAATCGTCAAAGTCAACATCATAACCGTTCTGTAGCCCTGCTATGGGAACCATAGCATCATTGCTCTTCTGCTCAGGATTAAGGGAGATCCCAAAAATTACATGCTGTCTTACAGTTATTAAGAAAGGTTTTTCATCTGTGAAAACAGCAAAACATTCATTATCAGTCATTTAGAGAAATGGAAGGCAGTAGACTGTTACCATCATAAGGAATAGAATTCCTATAACACACAGTAGATATATCAAACAATCCCGGGTCTTCCATACATTTCAGTGAGTTGCTGGGTCACTAACCATCCAGCTACACATACAATGGTTTCTGGACTTTTCCAAGGTATATCCAAACCAAACCAACTCGTAGTGACCCCACAGGACAGAGTAGACCTGTCCCATAGGGTTTCCAAGGCTGTAAATCTTTACATAAGCACACTACCATATCTTTCAATTGTGGCTGGTGGGTTCAAACCGCCTACCTTCCAGTTAACAGCCAAGCTAACTGTACCATCAGGGCTCCCTCAACATGTATCAGTATATCATTACTTCCTTAAAAACATGATAAACCATCCAAGCTTAATAGTCAGAGGGTCTGGGGACCATGCTTTCAGGGGACATCTAGGTCAACTGGCATAATAAATCTTATTAAGAAAATGTTCTGCATCCACTTTGGTGAGTGGCGTCTGGGGTCTTAAAAGCTAGCTAGCGGCCATCTAAGATCCATCAATTGGTCCAAACCCACCTGGAGCAAAGGAGAATAATGCACACCAAAGACACAAGGAAAATATTAGCCCAAGAGACAGAAAGGGCCACTTAAACCAGAGACTCCATCAGCCTGAGACCAGAAGAACTAGACGGTGCCCGGCAACCACCAGTGACCGCCCTGACAGGGAACACAACAAAGAGTCCCTGACAGAGCAGGAGAAAAGTGGGGTGCAGGACTCAAATTCTAGTAAAAAGACTAGACTTAATGGTCTGATTGAAACTGGAGGGACCCTGGGAGACATGGCCCCCAGACTCTGTTAGCCCAGAACTGAAACCATTCCTGAAGCCATCTCTTCAGACAAAGGTTAGACTGGACTATGGGACATAAAATGATACTCATGAAGACAGCACTTCTTAGCTCAAGTAGATACATGAGACTAAATGGGCAGCTCCTGTCTGGAGGCGAGATGAGAATGAAAAAAGGGACAGGAGCTAGTTGAATGGACACGAGAAATCTGGGGTGGAAAGGAGGAATGTGCTGTTACATTATAAGGAGAGCAACTAGGGTCACATAGCAATGTGTGTATAAATTTTTGTATGAGAAACTGGCTTGAACTGTAAACTTTCACTTAAAGCACAACAGAAAAAAAATACACACACACAAAAAAATGATGGCTAAATTAGGGCATTTTCAGATAAATGAATGATAAAATAGATTTTAAAAGTGCTGTATTGGAAAGAAAACAACAGACACACAAACTGATCAACACCAACAAAAATGTGCAAATTAGTTAACATATATTGAGCGCTCATTTACCCAGCTGATACTCAGAAACCAATTGGGAGATACAGAAAAACACTAGTGGAGTTATTTGTGAGACAAAAGGTACTATCCAGAATTAACACTTATCAGTCACCATCAGATTAGTAATATTGATTACACCAATCCCCAATGCACAGTCCAATAAGATTTCTGTGGTAAAGGAATGCTTTGTATCCAAAATGTCTATAGCCAAGTTTAATCTTCTGCTGAAAGACTCTGAAGACAAACTAAATTAAACCACGTCAACAAGGATTAGGTGCATAATAAGTCTCTGAAGAAAAATGGCAAATTCCAACCCCTTTGTAAGCAATACCAATAATTAAAATCTTTCATCATGAAAGTATCATTGTAAAATATTACATGTTGACAGGATTTGATTTTCAGTAAGCCTACATTTGCATAATCTGTGAACACCATAAATTTCCTGGACTCAATATATATTTTCCATTTGAAAACTAATTTTCTCACTAGATTACCTCTTAATTTAGGAATATTTTATTATTAAAAATTTAATTTTAACTGATCAAAGTGGTCCACAGCCATTTTTATCAGTATCTAAACAGATTCACTCCTCTTACTGAGAAATGAAAGAAACCTAGGTTTTAAGCAATGGAGAATGATTTTTATGAATGATTTTATACTTGAAGTACATACTCTGAGAGAAATCTCTTTTGTGAATTGACTACATCTTTTCCTTCCTTTCTTAGTATACTTTCAACATACTCTTCAATTAACCCAGTAAAATATCTCTAGGGTGAGATGAAAGTTTCATACAAAGTATCAGATAGGAATAGTAAAGGTACTGAAGTTAGAATCAGAAGACTTAGGCTAGAATACTCACTATCTACACTGGTTACAAGAATAAAAAAGAGATAATTATCATAGTTTGTCAGAAACGTGAGGGAAAATATGAAGTTTAATACTGTTCAATCACATGCAACATAACATTAGCTCTATATAAAGAAATCATAGTACAACCAAGGTGCTCAGTTAAACCACTTCGTACAACATGTACTACATAGATACCTGCTGAGTCCAAGACAACACAGTACTCTCTCAGTCAGCAGGTGAGTTTAAAGGCTCATTACTTTGCACAAACTAGGACAAGCTACATGCTCGGGATGCCACTTAAAGGGAATACTGTACCTCTCAAGCAATTCACAGACTCAAGAGAGGAAAGCCATCCTGAAGGACACGTACAAGAGTAAAAGTTTGGCCCCTGCGAAGAAAGCAGGCATAGATGGCTGCAGGGGGAAGAAGCACATGAATTTATACCTGGAATAGAAGAAGAAAAGAAAGCATTGGTGAAAGTTAAACAACAGAGTCAAGCTGTTATTATCCTCCCCCAGGATCCCAGTATTTGGAAGTACAAGTACCTTCCCCAGGGTCACGCTTTGAACATAAAACTCATAAGAAGAATAAGAAGAAAGAGTTATTTGCCCTATGTCACTGATCAATCCAGTCCATAATCGGATTATGAACAAACAGCCACTGAGTAATCTGGACCTTAGTAATAGCAATGTGTCTCCTTCCCTGACCTAAAAAAGATCAATTTCCTTTTGCATTAAATGAAACCAAGTTGTGAGTTTGCTAAGTGACCTTGACAATTACCTACTCTCGTCCAACTTTTTATTCTCTACTGATGGCATCTTGGTGGGGAAGATATTTTAGATATGGTGGTGAAGGAGGGCCCCCCTAACAAAGTGACATTTGAGCAGAATACTAAATGATATGGAAGAGCAACTCATGCAGAAATATGGAGAAGAAATGTCCCAGGCAGAGGGAAGAGCTAGTGCAAATGTTCAGAGGTGGGAAGTACACTAGCTGCTGAACCTTAGTGAAGTCCAGTATGGCGAGAGTAGATGAAAGAAGCCAGGAGGTAGCAGAGCCATTGGAGATATTTGAGAAGAACACTACCAAGGCCAAATTTTTAAATTACCTAGCCAGCACACATCCTAGGATGACTTCGAATGCCAGAGGACCTATAGGGCAACGTTGCCAAAATATATAAGCTGGTAGAAATAAGAGGATCTAAGGGACTATCTGGTCTATATTCTTCTCAGCTGAGGAAACAACCTCAAATCAAGGTCAAAGAGGAAAATGACTCCATTTTGATATGTTGTTGTTACATATAAGGTTTGAGTTCTCCATGGTAAATAAAAGTAACGGAAATGTTAGGAATGGGGAAGTGTGGAGCGGGACATTTAGTAAAAAAAGAAAGGAAAATCTATTGCTCAAACAAAAGGATCTGCAATAGTGTGCATTTAGCATGTTTTCCAAGCTACTGATAGGCAAGATGTCTTTCTGTATCACTTACTAGGTGGCTGTTTCACAGGGTGAACTGCAGCAATTCCAAGGGGCTGGTGAATATTATAAATTACGACTGACTGGTTCCCCCCATGCCACTTGTTGGCTTGCATAACTCGATGAGTATAGCGGTCAGTCCAGTACATGGAATCTTCAAAGAGAGTTATGGCATGGGGATGCCGCAGGATCTGTGAAGCAGAAAGAACAATGAGACCTCACCTACAATTAAAAGGATGCCCACCCAAGAAAATGTTTTCCTTTACCATTTGATTATTTAATAAAGGTACAGAGACAAGACATAAAATATACACTTGTTTTATATCCTACTACCCAACTAATGGAAACCCTGGTGGCATAGTGGTTAAGAGCTATGGCTGCTAACCAAAAGGCTGGCAGTTTGAATCCACCAGCTGCTCCTTTGAAACCCTATGGTGCAGTTCTACTCTGTCCTATTGGGTTGCTATGAGTTGGGATCAACAGCAATGGGTTTGGTTTGGTTTACCCAACTAATTTAAAGTATTTACACATATACATTTTTACACTGGACATCCATTTTACAAATGAAAACAGAAAGTAAGATAACTTATCTGGAGCACCTATCTATAGGTTTCTCATCCTCTACACACATTATCACCACTCCTTGTCTGGTGCTATTTCTACCATCTTATTCTGCCATCCATCTGATACAGCTTAGACGCATATTTCCTAAAGTAAGGATGCCTTCCTAGGGTCTCTTCAAGTCACATGAATTATAAACAATGAACTATAAAACAATGGAAATCTTAAATAGAAGTTATTAACAGCCCTTTCATTGCATTTGCCCGTTTGATTTGTGAAAATAAATTCATTGAATAAAAATATGAAATACATGGCAGGCTATGATTTAGTTGAGAAATTTAAATGTAACTGAATTATTAATTTTTGGTTAACACTATTTTTAAAGATATAGAAGCAACAGATTCACATCTATAGATAACAAAATCACAAGAGCAATTAATCTTTTCTGGCCAGGGCACAATCTGACCATGAACTATTATTACTACTAGTAATAAAAGGATGGATTACCCATCACTGGACAATGTTTTACATAGACATTTCAAAAGTCAGATTAATTTTTTCTTAGTACTCCACCTGTTTTCTACAAAACCACTATTGTAATTTTAGTTTTCTCACTACCAACTTACCAAATCACTGGCTATCACCTGCCTCCGATGATATCCATTGTAATCACAAAAGTCTATGTAATCAAGATAAGCATCCGTGAAATAGATCAGTCTATTGCTATAGTCAATGGTTAAGCCATTGGGCCAGAAGACCTTGTCCTGGACAATGACAGTGCGCATACTGCCATCCATGCTGGCTCGTTCAATACGAGGGTGATGGCCCCAGTCAGACCAGAACAATAGATGGTCACTGTGAAAAGAATGTAGTTACCTATTGGAGGAGATACATTTCCTTTAAATATAGATCATATTTACGATCTGCTTAAAATAAATCATCTTCAGTTCATCTGCACAGTGTTTATTATTTCCTCTGAGTGTCACAAATTGTAATCATAATGCAATCGCTAGTCATCTGGGTGTTTTTATAATGTTCATAAAACATGTAGTACATTATGACAGTGAAATGTCTCAATGTCAATTCATGTTTGTGTACAACCCATAAACAGTTGATTTAGAAAAAGCTATCTGTCCTTGTTTGTCTACCCTGTCACGTCTAAGGTAAGAGTCAATTTACTAATCAACAGGGATTAATCATAAATTACAATATCCTGGAAGTTAGCACCACATTGAATACAAGTAGTCCCCAATCTACGACGTATTTGTGTTCTTGTACAACTAATTGTTAGCAAGATGTACTACATACAATGTTGCAGTGTGTAATTTGCTGATGTTATCCTTCTCATGCCAACCCCTAAAGACAAATAAAGATCAGATTTATAAAGACAGTGATAGTAAAAGGCAGTAGTAATGAAAACTGGAAAAAAAAAGGTATTCGACTTATGTCAGAACCAACTTACAGAGTCATCAGAGCAGAGCCCTGTTGTTAGTTATTACTTGTAATAACTGGCCTAATTCATCGTCCTGTAGAATAGAGTCTAAGTTATAGGATCTGTGTAAATTCAAACTGGTCCGTCTATGAAATATCGCTGAATGTAATTGTACTGCCAAGCTAATAAAGCAATATGGACTTAAGATAAAGCACACAACCAATTGCTCTTATTTACTTTAGATAAAGGAGGGATAGCAACAACCGTCTGCCTACCATTTCTATAAAGATGTTTATTAAACAAAGATCTATTTTAAATTTTGCAACATGCATATAGCTGCATCATGTTGTTTTTCTCCCATTACAATCATGTCAAGGAAACAAAGCCAAAAAAGTCTTACTCAATTCTGGGATCTAATGCTAGTCCTCTTGGATTTGTTACATTTTCACTAATCAGCACAGTCCTGTGGCTCCCATCCATTTTAGAGACTTCAATTGTTTCCAGAGCATAGTCTGTCCAGTATAGATTGCGACCTACCCAATCTATTGCAATACTTTCCGTCATGGTGATACCACTGTCAATTATCTAAAGACAAAAGGAAATAAAGGGAATAAATGAATGAATACATGGAAATTATATGAATTATAATTATATGAATAAAGCATCTAATTTGTCCTATGTATATTAGAAAAGTTTGTCTTCCCATGTAGCTAAAAATCCACCATGTCAGCAGTACTATTTTCTAGGAAAAATATACCAAGGTTTAATAGAATTAAATACTCTGAGATAACTATTTTTGGATTGGTGTGTAGTTTCACTTTGGTCTCAAAGGTTTTTTAAATTAAGCAAAAACTATATCTATTTGCTAAGCTGGCAGGCCTATAAAATGTTATAATGTTGGCACACAGAGAGTACAAACAATAACCATCAAAGGTCAAAAAAGCTGCAACTCTGGGACAAGCCTTAAGAAACATAACTAAATTAAAGCTAATTTAGCTCCCCTTCACTTTCCTCTGCTCTCATCCACTAGAAAGGTTCTCCATCACATGGCCTGAAATTCAGAATCATAGGTCTGCCTTCACTGACCACACTCTTACCCAAAATACCCATAGACAGGAAAACCACTCAAGAGAGATGTACTTACTACTTTTCTGTCTGTTCCATTTTGAAATGCGCTCCAGATTTTGTCCTGAATTACGTCAGACCAAAATATACGCCCACTGATTGAATCGAAATCAATAGCTACAATGTGAGAACCATTTTGGACCAGTGAATAGATATTGTGGATCTGGGAAGTGATATTGTCAGCAACGATTTTGTTCTGACTTGCCACCAATAACAGCAGACTGTCAAGTGCTGTCCAAGAAAAAATGCAAAAATGGCAATGATTGTGGATGAAAACAAAATTAATTGAAGTGTCTCTTAAATATTTGATGTGATACTTTTGATAACAAAAGGAAGATATATTAATACAAAGAAACCCGTTGCCGTTGAGTTAATTCCAACTCGTAGAGACAGAGTAGAACTGCCCCATAGGGTTTCCAAGGAGCAGCTGGTGGATTCAAACTGCCGACCTATTGGTTAGCAGCCAAGCTCTTTAACCAGTGCACCACCAGGGTTCCAAATACACTATAGAAACTTCTTTTTCTATCTTCCACTGCTAAGATCTTTTTGTGTATCACCTCACCTGAACCTCACAAGATATTGAGACTTTGGAAGGTTATGTAATCTGTCCAGGTTTCCATCTGACTCCTAGTCAACATCGTCAAATGCCTACATATGACGTATGATCCTAAGTTCTAGATGTGCTGTTAAACTGGCTAGAGTTAGTTCACTTTTAAGTTCAGTCATTACCTTGAGCTCTGCAAGTCCTCCCATCACCTTCTAATATGTAGCCTGCATCACACCAGCACCGGAATGAACCTCTCACATTGTGACAGTGCTGGCTACAAAAGCCTGGAAAATCACATTCATTGATGTCCTCACAGGTCTTAGAATCATTGCCAAGTAGGAATCCCAATGGACAGAGGCATTCAGCCCCAAAGGGACCTTGAATACACTGATGAGTACAACCAGCATTATTCTCTGAGCAGCTCTCTTGGTCTAGAATAAAGGAAGAGAATCACAAAGGGAAAGAGTCAGGAATCTTTGTTTGTTTGATTCACTCTCAGGTGATATTTGCCATACAGTCCCATGACACCTTCAATGTAATGCCCCCTTGGAAGAGTTCCACAGGCAATTCAGGGTCTGCTCTGATTTGCCTGAGAATTTGTTATCCTTCACATCCAATGGACTTATACCACCTTCTGCACTACAACCCTCTGCTATAATTGTTTAGTGCAAAGAGAGAACCTTGGGGAAAAATTGACATCAAGAAACACAATTATCATTGATAAAGCATGCAAACAGACCTAATTGCTTCCCACTTGCCTCCTCTGCCTTTGACATTAAACAGAAAGTACTGGAAGATCTATGGAAGTTAATAATGGAAGGGAACGGTTAATTGGAACGTTAGAGGGCACTGATCCACTAATACACCATCATTCCTTACTTTCAGGGCCAAAATGGCAATGACTGAATCCACCCAGAGACAGGTCATATGCCTGAGGATACAAATGCCCTCTATTTCCATCTATGCTCTCAATTACTTATGGGGGTTATAATACAGAACATGCACTAGAAGGGGAAATAAGTCAAAATAATTAGGACATTGTCTGCACAAACACAAAACATAGGAAATCACGATACTTCACAACCATACCTGGCTGGGGTTCATCTGAGAACGGGCATTGATTAAAAAGGAAAGAATGAAAGGACAGTAGTTAGGATTACATGCCAATCACAGCATTTGCAATCACAGCAAACACAAATCGCCAGACTTCATTTGTTTTGTGGCAAGCTCTGATTGAAATTAGAAAATATGAAAGTTAGAAAAATGTATGAGCACATTAAAAACAGAAATCAAATTTAATTTAACAATCTAATGGCATCACTTAGTCTCATTTTCCTAAACAATTACATAAAAAGAAGTAAAAACACAAAACCAAGTGCAAAGGATTTAATGAGAAATATTATCTGGTGATGATTTATTTGAATTATAGTTAACCCCACGCAGATTGGAACTCAAAATGAACTGAAGTGTGTTTCTAAAAAGCTACACAGTGATTCTGACATGGTGATGTCCACCAGGGTACTGCTCAGAAAGAATTTATGACCAGTAAACTGTGGTCAAGAAACTTACTGCAAACGGGGGACTCGTCTGCCCCATTGGGGCAGTCACGGGTAGAATCACACACCGCACTCAGATTCACACAGATGCTAAGGCCGGGGCACTGCCATTGCCAACTGGGGCAATGAAAAGCCTGAGTAGCGCAGTCCCTCTCATCACTCATATCCCTGCAGTCATTGTCCCCATCACAGAGCCATGATTTGAAGATGCAGTTTCCATTGTCACAGAGGAAATGAGTTGGAGGGCAGGTCTTGGGAAGGCAGCCAGAGTGCTCATCAGATCCATGGATGCAGTCTGGATGCCCATCACACTCCCAGGTCTCCGGGATGCAGGCACCATCTGCTTGGCACTGAAATTCATCTGGGTGGCATATACCAGGAGGCCTGGTTGCTGGAAGAAAAGCATTTGAAAAATTTGTGAATGCAATTCAAAATCCCTCTTACAGACTAGATTCAGAGAAAATTATTTAGGTCCATAGTAGGTTATAATACCTAATATAACAAAATCTGAAATAACATAAACTCTTCTCCCACACTATGGTACACAGAAATATTTGTATGTGTCAGATCAGTGTGTCTGACAACAAACTAAGAACATGCTATGCAACTCTTAACTAGAAGATAAGTACCTGACTCCAAAGAATATTCTTTTTCCTGTGTTTCTAATTTTCATTCAGGTGCAGATTTGATAATAAAATTTATCCTCACTCTCTATTAAAAGAACCACCAGTGCATTTCAATACAGTTATGATGATTTTGAACTTCATATCTTTAATATGGATACTGTAATTTTCCCTCAAATAAGCTATACCCAATGAAACTGGCATATAAAAGATGGCAGTAAAGTTTTGAGTGTTTAATTTAACTAACTTTTCTTTCTGTCCAGAGATTTAAAGATTTCTGATTGGGGAGAAAGAATTGGTGAAAATCTACCTTTTAAGATACAAAAGAAATGGGCGATAAAAAATCATCTCCCTTATAGTTCTCCAGCCTGTGGAGATTCTAAATTCATCAGAATTATATTCCAGGAAGTCCTCCTTGAACCCTCCAACCAGACGGAAGTTCTGTTTTCTGATCTTCCATATCTGTACCATTTTTAAGGACCTTACCTTCTGTAATCTCTCTTGCTAGGGCATATATAACTCTAAGAACAAAGGCCACATCTAATTATCTTAGCAAATATTCAACAAATAGTAGCTGAAAGAATGCATTCATTAGAATCCATACCAAATACAGCTCAGTACCATTTCTATACCATGATTTGACCTCCCTATTGAGGTTCCAAAGAAACCAGTAATTTGTGATTTGCTAGGAAAAATTAAAAGCAAGAACAAAAATACCTCAGAAATAGAAGACTATTCAAAGTACTTCATTTGCTAATTATTTGGTAATGCCTAGTCAGCTTTATTGTATGTTCAATACTGTATTCCTCTGAGAATACTTTGTAATTTAGATTGATTTTTGCTGTAATATCCATGTTGGTAAAAATGGAATGACTCTTTCACCTCAAGTATGCTGGGTATATGGTACTTACGACAGCCTCTCTCATCAGAGTGGTCATTGCAGTCAAAAACACCATCACAAACGTATATGTTGTTAATACACTGATCCCCACTCGCACACATGAACTGATAAGCAGTGCAGTTAAATACTAAGGATGGAAGAGAAAAGCATTAGAAATTAGCTTGGGGGGAAACTGCTAAACGCATTGGAAGTTTTCTAAGCATGATGAATAAAAACAAAGCAATTCACTTACCACAATCAGCCTCATCAGATCCATCAACACAGTCCTTGTCCCCATCACAGACAAAAGTTAGGTCAATACATCGATGATGGTCCACACACTGAAACTGAGTAACGTGGCATGTCTCTATAGATCCTAATGTCACCCAAAAATAAAACCAAGTAACAGTTTATTTCTTGTTCAATGTGTACCAGAGCCAAACTGAAAATGTTAAGTAGCTATAAAAGTTATCTCAGTTGTAAAAGTATTCCAGATTCCTTCCACCAGCCAGAGAACTCAAAGCCAGGACAGCTTTTGGAAACAGGTATAGGAAGATTACAGGGCAGAACTTGAAACTGTGATTACACCTTGAAAAACAGACCACGCTAAGAAAATTAGCATCATGTTCTTGAACTGGGACTACACCTCATAAAGTACTATTATGTCCATGACTCTAGACCAAAGCTAAGCAATGGAGCCCAAATGGGCAGCATGGTGGGTATGGCCCACATGCCTAGTAGCAACAGTGTGTAGACAGATCACAATGACCAGATTTAATCTAAAGTCTAAGCAAAATAATTCTAAAAACCAAGTTCCTACTTTGCTGCTCCAGCCACATTATGAAGTTTGAAGGGGTCTTAAAGCTCATCTACCACAGAAGAAAAGTGACTTGACTACTCTTGCAACCAAGAATAGAATTTAGCCCAGGGAAATCTGCTCTACCTTAAACTAGCATTGCAAACATGAGAATAAGCACCAACTAAAAGGAAATCAAAACTGGTAAGATAAAAAGCAGGTGGGCAAGATGGATAGAAATTAAAAACCCTGTTTGCATAGTGGTTAAGAGCTATGGCTTCTAACCAAAAGGTCAGAAGTTCAAATCCACCAGGAGCTTCTTGGAAACCATATGGGGCAGTTCTACTCCATCCTACAGGGTCACTACGAGTAGGAATCGACTCTGACAGCGGGGGGTTTGGGTTCTCTGGGGGGGTGCCTCGATTGCCTTTTTGCCTGTATCAAATGAACAGAAAAAACACTAGCCAAATATTTTAAATATATGAAGAACTGTTTGAGGAATTTTTTTTCAGTTTCTACCTAGACGTTTGTTTCCACAGGCACTGTATTGTTTCCAGAAGACTTGTGGGAAGACTATAAGCATCCCATACACAGGTCCATGCCTTTGTTTTTATAGCCTATTTGGTACAGGCTATAGAATTGACACGTGGAATAAAAAATTTTTCCTAAAATGCAATGCAAATCAAGTGAGTTTTATAGGAAAGTCTGCAAAGGTCTTTTTGTTAGGCTGACCAATCAAGAGAAACCAGTTCAAAACTTACCACAGTACTTTTCATCAGATCCATCCCCACAATCATTATCTGTGTCACAGACCCAGCTTTTTGGGATACACAGGTTATTATCACAGGTGTACTGGTTCTCAGCACAGGAAACAGGTCTTTGAGTGGGGCAGTTCTGTTCATCGCTGCCATCCTCACAGTCATTGTGCTTGTCACAGTGCCAGACTGAAGGGATGCATTGCCCATTGGCACAACTGAATGCTGAAGGTGCACAGGTATTATCTACAACAAAAACAAAGGGTCATTAAGACATTTATTTTTTCTGACTGGCTTCATTACATTAGATAATTGCTGTTAGTTGCTGTTGAGTCCATTTGAAGCATTGTACAAAATAAGGAGAAATGTGGATCAAGTGATGACAAGATCCTCATCGTCAACATTATTATTGGCTGACATTTGTTTAGTACTCACCATGTACCAGGGACTTTTCTAAGTGCTTTACATATATTTCCCTTACAAGAATACTATGAGGTACATATAATTATCTGCATTTTACAGATGAGAAAACTGAGGCTTTGAGAAATTTAGGAATCTGCCCAAGAGTCAAGATCTAGTTGATGTGACTCTAAGGCCCATCCTTAACTTCTAAGCTGTGCTTAGTCCCATCACAACTGCAAACATATAGATAAAAATATTCAGGCAAAAATTTGCCACAGGAAGATGATACACAAAAGGAGGAAAATTTTTCCTAAAATTGCACAAGTGGGCACGTTTTTTCAAATCTGTCAGTCTTCTTTCTCTCCAAAAAGACAGGTTACTATTGCTACTAATCTCACCTTTACAGAGATTTTTGAGATATCAACTGTCCTCTATCTTTACTTTATTTCATTTTTTTTTTTTTTAATTTTAATAGAATACTTTGCCTTCTGCTTAGGCTATTAGGCCCCAATCAATGCTAGCAACTATCTGTAACATTACCTATGAATAATATTTATTGCCTAGCTTCCTAAAAGCTTTTGGAGTCCATGTCTAAAAGGTATTTTTTCCCATATGGGTAGCCCAAGTTTATTTATTTATGTTTTATAAAAGCACTCTTCTCTATGTACTATTCATGTCAGGAAATACCTCCAGTGTACAGCTACTTACTAAATGTGCCACATTGGTGTTCATCACTGTTATCGTGGCAGTCATCAATTCCATCACAGTGGTAGTGATTGGGCACACATCTGCCATTATTACAGGGGAAGGAATATATGCCACACTGCTCCATTGGTGGTTCATGAACCGGGTCTTCCACGCACGTCACGTGATCAGAGCTCAGGCTCATTCCATAAGGGCAACCACAAACCCGTTGGAAATTTGGCACCGGAAAGCAGAAGTGGCTGCAGTCGCCATTAGGGTTGGTGGGTCGACTGCAGTAATTGGAACCTGAAAAAGCAATGCACAGAGATAGTAAGTTATGCACATTTCTATTTGGTTGGTCACAGGTTTGGCTGGTGAAGGAAAACAAATAATAAAGAACATTTTTCAGACCCCATACAAGAAATTAGCTTCCTCTTGGGGATCAACATGCCAAAAGGTAACATTCTAATTAAATACAGAAAAGCACTACAAAGCAGTACAATCATTGAAATTACTGTTTGTCCTGAATTCCATCATGCAACGCTGTTAGGGTTAGCAGAACTGGACACAGCCTTACACTTTTTAGCCACTTAGGATGATAGGAATATAAAACTATCAGGAGTTATATTAAACAATAAGTATATAAAGGGAAAAGGAGCCACCATATCAAATAAATACATGCATATAAGAGAATCTGGCAATCTTACTTACCGGTCTGGATGTCAGCATCATACGATTTCACGTGCATTATGTTACTGATGAATTCTCTGATAATGGTCATTGCCCCACCATCAGTTTTCCTAACTCGAACAATAGCACCCAGTCTCCAGTCGGTAAAAAATACATACTCTAAGAACGAAAAAACGTGATTAGTATTTTTAGTCATAGCTCACTTATAAATCCGCTGGGAAAATACAACTGACTGATAAATGCTTCTTGCAAATGTGAGAAACGTCGCCCATAAATATCAGTAATATTGTTCTCTATGATTTGTTACTCTCTAGAAATGGCTCTTTGGAAACTTATATACCAGGGTTCAGATTTAGGCAAGCATTTACGCAAAAACAAAAAAAAACCCTCAAGATTCTTCTATAGAGCATTGGATAGGGAGGGCATGGTAAGACATAAGGCTAAAGCATTAGCCTGCTGGGTGCTCTCAGGCAAATATGTAACCATTGGAGGACTAGTTTTTCTCATTGTGAAAATAGATTAATTATCTCTAAGCTCCCTGCTAGGTCAAACATTCTGTATTACAATTTTAAAACACTTTAACGTCTTAGAACACTTAAAAATTTTTTATAGTCTAATGTAACCAGCTTTTCTGGAATTGCAAGAAGATGAATCTACTGCTACAATACACAGTTTTATACAGTTTCATTGCTTCAAAACATACCTCCCAAGATGGTAAGTCCAAATGGATGTGTCATCTGTTCTATATTGCTCAGGGTTCTTCTATCTAAACCATCAAAAGTGCTGTGCTCAATTTTGTCAAAAAAGGCATCTACCCAGTATAATCGTAAAGCACTAAAATAACAAAATACTGAAGTTAGACGTTATCCAGAAACTATCAAAGCAACCCTTTACACTGAGGGCATTCAAAAACAATGTGTTTAGCTGACGTGTTTATTAAACGAAGTTTTGAAAGCTGAAATTATATTCCTTAAAAAATTAACATTTTTATGGTCCCCAGAAAGATACATTTACTTTCACGAGGTGGTTTTTAATTGTCTTAGAAATTTCATTTTTTTTCCTTGTGAAATCAAGATACTGATAGTAATCTATGTTTAAGGAGTCCTGGTTAAGCACTCGGCTGCTCACTGAAAGGCTGATGGTTCAAACCCACCCAGAGGCTCTGTGAGAGAAAGACCTGGCAATTTGCTCCCGTAAAGATTACAGCCTAGAAAACCCTATGGTGGAGTTTTACTTCGTCACATGGAGTCATTATGAGTTGAAAATTGAACTGACAACAAAAATACGTATCTTCCCTTTGTCTCCTATAAACTACTTTGGCACTATCTGTAAATGACATCTTGTTTTTTAAAAGTTCACCCAGAGTGCATATAAGTAAATATACAGTTGTTGATTAATTGATTCCAAAGGTTTCCTGTCCTCAAGATGCACCCTGTAAGAAATTACATATGACCAGTGATTCATCAAATCCCTGTCCCACTATTAACGAGGTTCAAGACTTATCTCCTCCATACTGACCTTCCACTACCTCCTATAACTCTTGTTCCCCTAGCAATGTCCTGAGACTATTCGTGAATGCATTAGACTTTTTCCCAGCAGTAGCTGACCAACTGTGTTCTTTGTGTTTTTATATCATTCTACATCCTTTCCAATAACCTCCTTAAAAAACTGAGGACAAGCAGTATCAATTTTCTCACTCCCTCATATTACCCCAGTATGCTTCATGTGTTCCAAAATAAGAGGGAGCTCAGTAATGAAAACAATTATTACTTACCTCCAATCTATGGCCAACCCGTTGGGCCATCCAAGAGTAGTGTTTACTATAGGCAAAGCATGAGATCCATCACTCCATGCTCTCATAATTTTAGCGGGACGGAACCAATCAGTCCAGAATATATACCTAGAAAATGAGGTGACAGATCTAGAACATTAACGTTGGGACAAACACAGATTCTCCGGAGACTTGCTGTAACTAACTTCATTCCCTCTATATGTTATTAGGCTTAGCAGATCTAGTGGACCATTCGTTATCAACATGTGGCCAAAATCACAAGCACGATAAAACATTAACTTTTTATTTGTAAGGTTCTTTTGAAACAAAACACACCCACACCAGAAGCAGTATATGGATTGTTAGACAAACAGGCTTTGCAGTCAGACAGGCCAAAAGTTGGATACTAACTGTTGCTTAACAGCCCTGGGTCCTTGGCCAAGTTACTTTACTTCTCTCAGCCTCAGAGTCTTTATCTCTAACTGAGTATTATACAAATCTCATTCATAAACTAGCTTTTGGATTAAATGAGATTATAATATACGTAGAGTGCTCACTACATGCTGCATAGTTCAGATCCGTTCTTTAAAGGCAAGCACTGAAAAGGAATATTGTGAACTCTTTTACCTTTCTTGTCTGACACTACCAACCATAAAATAGTAAAAGATGAAACTTTGTGGTCTGAAAGACTTTTTAATCTGAAAACTACTGAATGATTAAGCAAGTTTTGCTAAGCTTCATATCAATACATTAAAGCAGGAAAAGAATTTGAGCCTTTCCTGATAATTCTGCTGCATATTCATTCCTTTTCTACTGAATCTGTATCACATTGCTAGGTCCTCTGCAATTGTGAAAAAAAAAACCCGCACTGCAGTGAAGACTGAGAAAGCTGAAACTAAGAAGAAAGTTATCTGAAGCTGATAAAGTGATTATTTTATGCTAAAGGGATAAAATTTAAGGTGATTTCAATTTATACAGTTCAATCTTATATTTGTTGAACTTGTCAAATCCCTATGGCATCACTTTTCAATGAGTGTAAAAGACATACAGTTTTTCAAGCTCTTGGGAAAACATAATCACACTTACCCCATGATAGGATGAACTACAATTGATCGTGGGTTATTTAAATTCTGGACTATTTCTCGTCTCGATTTATCAGCTATTCTCATGACACTAACAGACCTGTAAGAAGCCTCTGTCCAATAGAGATTCTTTGAAATCCAGTCAAAAGTCAAACCTTCAACATTTTCCACCCTGTTAGCTGTGAGAATTTCTCTTCCTGTAAGTTAAAATACAGACATGGTTTAAATTAAGCGTATTTAAATTAAATTAAGACATATATTTTACTACTGCATATTTAAATTTTGTGTCAGCGTTACAGCATACTTCAGTAACACGTGGAATTCTTAAGAAAAAAAGAAATGTTGACGAGCAACATAAAACATGAGATAAACCTAGAATCTATCTGTTCAAGAGTTCGGATCTCAAAGAATAGATACGATTCTGATAAACAGAACCTGGAATGGTATGGTCTGAATTTACTCCCTTCCAGAAAAAAATTTCTCATTGCAGAACATGTGAATAAGAGATACCTGAGTTCACCTACTCACAAACACCACCCACAGACAACTCTGATGAGCTGACACCACCAGGTACGACTAGGGGGTAACCCTGAGATTATTACCGCCCAACTCTCTCACCAACAGTCTCTCACAGCCACATGGTTGCCAAGTTTGGAAAAAACCAGCAAAGATACCAGAAAGGAAATCAGAACTGGATACATGAGATAAAAGACCACTTCTCCCTGTCCATAAAATGATAAACAGAGAGAAATACAACTAGAAAGGAACTGGGGTTAAGGGTGGGTTGCATTTTTTTAGGAAGGGAGAGCCTTGAGCATATATAAATATGATGAAGAAACATCAGTAGAAAAAGAGAAGTGGTGAAGAGAAGGGGTAATTGAAGGAGCAGGTTCCCTGAGGGCTTCAATCAACCAATCTTGACTTTAATTTGATGTCTGACAACTCATTTTCTGCATATGTGCTCAGTGAAACTTAATCTTCTCAGTGGAGGGGCTTAACCACTGACTGTAAGACTATTTTAAAAGGTATCTTGCTCAGCAGGTAGACATGAAGTTGATAAAAGGCATGATGAGAATTCCAGTTTTACAAAGCAGACCAAAGCTGACCTGTGGAGGCGCCTACAGGAGACTTAGCCTCCATGTAGCTTAGAAACACAGCACTGCCTTTTGGTAAGAGCTAAGTTTAATTAGGAGCCCTGATGGCACAGTGGATAAGAGCTCAGGCTGCTAACCGAAAGGTCAGGAGTTCGGATCCACCAATGCCTGCAGAGGGGACACATACACACACAGAAGCCCTCAGTGTATCAGCAACAGGTTCTCAGAAAGGCAGGGGCCAAGGAACTAAGGGGGGATCAGTTAAAAGTGAGGACAAGGAGCAATTATACCCCCAGGTCCCTCCAAGATCCTCTGCAGCCATGCTACTCTCTGGTCTACCTCTTCTAACAGATCAGAGAACTTATTCTCTGAAGAAAGTAAAGCAGAGAGGCTGTGGGCTCAGGGATACAAAACAGAGGGCTGAGGCGGCCCATCCACACATATAGACCTTCTGGTAAGCTTTTTATAGCCCCATCCCTAATACCAAACAAGGTTCTCAGCAATTTGGAAAAAGCTTTTGTTTCATGAAACAAAAAAAATAAGGAACCCGAAGAAAATGGAAGCAGAGGATGACTGACTTTTTAAAATGTAATTAATATCAGAGAACTAAGAAACTGAATTTATAAAACAATAACAAGTTATTATGAAACAAAGTAATCAGAGAACAAGAAACTTCTTCAAAATTGAAAATATTATAAATGAAATTTAAAAAATTCAACAGAAAGGTTGAAAAGTAAAAGGCTGAATCTCACAGAAAAAAATGATACAGATGAAAAAAATAATAGGAAAAAACAAAGGATTAAGCTAACATTCTACTACTATGAATAACAGAAACAGTGAATGGAAGAAAAAAAAAGGCAAGAAAATTGGAAGGACATACATCTCAAGATTAAAGGAATGACAAAAAGACCCTAAAAGTTCCCAGAGAGAAACAATAAAAGCACAATAATAACAATATAAATGGTGCTCAGAATGGCAGTGGTAAAAGTTTCTCTATACAGCTAGACAGTCAAAATTCCAAAAAAATAAGCCACCATATTTCTCCTTCTTAGGAAACTACTAGATAATAATGTTTCAGCAAAATGAGGAAATAAATCTGGAAAGTGGATGGCCTGCCAGAAACATGGACTCCAACACAGGAAGGTTGACAACAGGAAATCAGAAGACAAGAGCTGTGCAACACATCCAGACAGAAACATGTCCTAACTGGAACAAGGGAGAGAGGTCTCCAGCGTGGGGGAAATATTACTGTCTTTGGCTAGGCGTTTCATCAATCTTTTGAGCATTTGGGGAAAATATATGATAGTTACATAGAAAACTAAGCGAACGAAAATGGGCAGTTGTTAACTCCAGCAATTCGTTCAAGAATATCACAAAATACTACTTGCCTTAGCAGTAAATAAATATTAAATATTAAGTTTTATTAACAAATATTAACATCAACTATTAATTTAACCTACAAGTACAATGTAGCTTTTTAGGGAGAATTGGGGGAGAGGATTCGAAAGTTAAATCCTCATCTACAACAAGGAAGTAAATATCTAAAATGGCTAAGTCGAGAAATAGTTGTATAAGCAAAGTATTTAGAAACATGGAGACAAATAATAAAAGAAATAGCTAAAAAAGTGGTAAACAACTACCCCTGGAGAGCAGGTCTGGGTTAGGGGTGGAGTGGAACAGGTTAATATGGGTTTTCATTGATAATAGCGATAATGATAGCTAACATTTACTGAATATTTACTATTTTCCAGGAATTATTCTAGATGCTTTACATGAATTAACTTAAAATTCTCTCAACTACCTTACAAGATATGTAGTAGCTTTTTTATCATTCCTATTTTTTCAGATTATGAAAGTAGTCTGCCCAAAGTTACATAGCCAGATTATGTAGGGAGCCAGGATTCAAAACAGGCAGTCTACCTGCTGAGCTGGACCTCTTAGTTGCTACATTACATTGACTACTTATTTCAAATTGCAGGTTTTCAACCCACTAGCTATATGAAAGAGAAAATACCCACCTTCTGTGTATGAGGCAGTTAAGAGGAACCCTCAGTGAGTATACTCAGCAATACAGTGAACAGATGGGACCAACGTCAGGTGCACTCATTAATCTTAAATCAAGAAGCATTCAGTCCTTCAGAGAATCTCAGAATATTTTTGCTGGAAGATGTCTGAGAAGGACTCTAATCTAGTGATCCTAATTGGGAGCAGAATTAGGAGTACCGACTCCCATTCGCAGGTGGTGTTCCTTCCTGTTGTTATGGATTGACTCACATTCCCCAAAAATATGTGTTGTAAATCCCAACCCTATACCTGTACTTATAATCCCATTTGGGAATGGGTTTTCACTGTTACGTAGAGGCAGTATTACTGTAGGGTGTGTCGATCTCTTCAGAGATAAAACAGCCCGTTAAGCAAGCACAAACACATGAGTCAAGGAACCTAGGAATAGCTGAAAAGACACAAGGACCCTTCCCCAGAGCAGACAGAGAGACTTCGCCTAGAGTTAGCACTCTGTATTCAGACTGTTAGCCTCCTAAACTATGAGAAAATAAATTTCTGTTCATTGAAGCTCACCTACTTGTGATATTTGTGTTATAGAAGCACTAGATAACTAAGACACATGTCATCATCCAATAAATTACGCCAAAGAAAAGCGTGACTGACCGCAACTGATGACTGTAGATTCTAACAGAATTCCAGTCAGCTAAAAACTTGATTTACTGTATTTCACATAATTCATGTCTTTTTAAAAAATTATTATTCCAGCATAACCATTAGCAAAGACATTCCAGGATACCTTAGAGAGGTCATCTCATTGGATCAAGCTGACTGCTGGAACATGGGAAATAGCCTCAAGCCAACTAGAGCTGTCATACTCTTGACATTAAAACTATTTGTATGTTAATTTTTATCACTGTTAAAATATACCTTCATTTATAAGTTGTTTTGAAAATAAAGGAAAGGTGTTTGCTTTAAGTTAATCCATAAGAAAAGCTAGCTTAGCAAAAGACCCTGTTTAAGAAGTGGATGCAAAGTTTTACTGAGGAAACTATTATTATTATTATAATTGTTATTATTGAAAACTTACAGGGACAACACGCAAAAAAAATCCTTACTCACCTGTGCCATCAATATTTTGTCTACAAATCGTATCTTGTGCTGTATCTGAAAAAAAGATAGTTTTCTCTTGGGCCCAAAAATCAACCCCAACAAAGAAAGAATGACTTCTCGTGACTGGAACCATGACATCTTTCTGGGAAGTGAGGACAGGCGGGATCCCGCGAATGGCCACTTGGGATGAAAAGAGTAGGAACTTCTTAACAGCTGTAGGAAAAGGGACGCGGCATGGTCAGCCACAGACATGGTTCTGGCGCTCCCCGAATTCCAGAGAAATTACCTATACGTCCATACCAAAAAACCCAAACTCGTTTCTGACAAGTCAATTCCAATTCATAGCAACCCTACAGGACAGAGTAGAACTGCCTCATAGGGTTTCCAAGGAGCAGCTGATGGATTCGAATTGCCAACCTTTTGATTAGCAGCCAAATGCTTAACAACTGTGCCACCAGGGCTCTAATATGTCCACAAAGCACATATTATCATTCAAAAATGCATGTATGAATGTAAAAAATAAACTTTTGTAAAACTTAGTTGGAAATAATGGGAGGAAGGGAAGAAAATGTATCCTTAAGATAAATTTATATAAAAGGTGCTGACCACAAATAGTATCAACTGAACTCCATAATAATTACATCAAAATTTCCAAGTTTGCATTAACTTTTGTATAGAGGCCTACACCAAGAAGTCTGCTGCAGTTTTTGAGGTATCAAGACCAAGAAAATAATAATTAAACAACAGCAACCAGGTAAATTATTTTAAAAGAAATAAAGGAGAGAAAGAAGGGTGGGGAGAAAAGGAAAAGTCTGAGGAGGAGAGAGTGACAGTATGTCAAGAACGAGAAACAGATGGTTAACAACCCCACTACACGTCAACACTGTCCTTACTCAACCTTGGGTTCCCTATCAACAGCTTTCCTGTCCCCTTCTGCCTTCTAATCCTTGTCCCTGGAC